TCCTTTCTTTCTTTTCGGTGTTCGACCGCCAGATCAAGTGGATTAGTTACCGAGTTTACTCGGCACGTCATTCGCGCGACTCTTCATTCGGGGAAGGTTAAATTCAGAGCTGGAATAATAAATGTCGTTTCGCGGAGATGAAAGGAAGCGCATTTGTTCGGGCGGATTTTGCAGCACAATTCTATATCCGCTATATCCAGAGATATCGGTTCTTCTAAATGAAAGGTATTAATGCAAAACGCGCGCGGGCGCGAGAGAGAAAGAAAGAGAGAAGGAGGGTGAAAGGAGAGGGAGAGACAGAGAGGATTCTAATTCTGTCATCCAGTCATCGGAAAAAAAAGGTGAAATAATGACTGCTTCTTAGCAAAGTGACCTCTCAGACATCAAAATAGTGACCAAAAGCAACATATTTTATTAAAGTCTGAAAGTAACTAAAACTATTTAAAACGAAAAATAACATTTTTATTTTCTCACATTGAAGAAAATGTGTTACATTCAAATAAATAATTACTCTAATAGTTCTGAACAAATGTTTACATGGCTTAAGTAAATTTTACTTGGATCAAGTAAATATATTACTTCAATGCAACCAAAGCGCTAAATTCAAGTACATTATTTACTTAAATCAAGTATAATATTTACTTAAATCAAGTAAAAAAATTACTCAGAATTAAATTGCTCAGAAAAAAAAAATATAGAACCATCTATATTTTACAAATTTAACGATAGGTCAAAAAAAGTGACCCGTAACCTATTTTAGACGATAATGAATTTTTTAGTGACGTGATATTAGTTAAGAAAAAGTGACAAAAAAGTACTTAAACAACTGGGGTTGGTAATACTGGGGTTCGAAAAGGAAGCGTTTCTTGGAAAGCATGCGCGCGTTCGCCGGCGGAATGAAATTGGTCACAACTTGACCAATTGATCACGACTATTCCACTCGTTATTTATAGCTATCTTGGTAATGATTAGTTCAATAGGAACTTCCTCCGTATTACCTGTGACCTCTCTCTCTCTCTCTCTCTTTCTCTCTCTCTCTTTCTTTCTCTCTTCTCTCTCTTTTCTTCCAATTCTACTATTTCGCGATCGGAATAGACGTGAAAACGCATCATATTGTCACTCGATGTACATTGTTGCGGCGTGAACTTACATGACGTGTATTACCGGAAAACGAGAAATCTACGCGAGTGGAAAAAAGTGCATCGATGATTGAATGGAGAATGTATTGACAAGAATGTTAAATTAAGATTAGAGATAAGATCGTTATGTTAGATTAGTTAGTATTCTCGGGGCGCCCTCTCTTTCTCTCTCTCTCTCTCTTTCTCTCTTTGCGACATCGATGGAGAGAGAGAGAGAGGGAGAGCCTCACCCAACAACACACGCGTTAGAGGCACGAAAAGCATTCCTCTGTTTAACACAGTCGTGGATCGGTCGCGCGTTGCCGCTCCCTTCCGAAGGAAAGTGTTATGTTCAACAGATGTCGGGGTAACGACTCGCAAGGGTAGGCAAGAGCGACAATGTAAAAGTAAGACAAATGCGCCCACGAGAGGGCAATAACCGGACGAGATCGCCGACGGAATTCTACCGGCGAAATTTAATCGTGGAAAATGTCTGTCCCGTGACACGGTAAAAAACATCTTATACTTTGCGTTAAAATCGGTCCTCGTTAAGACTTTTTTGTTAAATTCTTGATATAACCATATTAATTTAATATATTGTGTTTGTGTTATCTCAATATATTTTGTGTTGAGTCGATATTCAATATATGTAAACGTTAAAATAACAGATTTTATATTTCAGTGCCGATTAACATTCACGGATATTAATCTTGTGTTAATTTTTTTTTACACAATATTCGTGGTATTCTTCAACTTATTTATCCTGTGTTAAATTAACACCAAAATTTGTGAGGGTCGTTGGTCGACATCTCGCAAATAAGTGAAACAAGCACGCATATTTTTCAATCTGCTTCCACGATCGACGGCGAGGAGGAAAAGAGAATTCGACGTTTTGAGATCACTGCCGCGATTCGTGTTGCCGCATAAATCCGTTTTTAATGAATAAAACTGCGAGTTCGGATTACCCGGTCGCCTCGGTTACGATACAGCTGGAAACGTTTTGTATCGATTACAGTTCGCCGGCGATGTGAACGCGAGAGAGGCCCGTTAACCCGCTGTTCCTGCAGGCCGACGATGAAGATATAAAAGCGCACCGACGAGCGAACCTCAATTGACCATTATCCCGATCATTAGCGATGATTTTCGCTCACAATATCGTCCTAATGAATCGCGATAATTACGCGAGTCGACGGAGCGTCGTCTCTCTCTGTCTCTCTCTCCCGCTCTCGGTGGGAAAAATTTTAACTTTCCCGCGAGAAAGCCCGAGCATCGCGAGAGAAGCAACACAATCGATCGTCGAGGCGACGATCGATTCTCGAGGGGGAACATCGAGTGAGGCTGTGACCGCGTAGATCGTCCTGATCGGCACAATTACGGCGACGACGACGGTGGGAAAGAACGGGCCCGAAATCCGATTCGCGAGCAAGCGAGCGATTATTATTCGCGTTCGCGGTTTCTCGGGACCGAAACGAGCGCGCGGCCGTAACGATACACCGCGGGATAGCGCGGAACTTTCGTATAGATCGTTTTCCTGCCGTTTGGAACGGGATGCCCCGCTTTCTATATCAATAAAATCGCGCAGCGGAAAGAAACGACCGAGCGCTTCCCGTCAAAAGCTATGCGCGGACATGCCGCGGATAGACATTACGCTGAACATTACCCCGAATCAAGTTCTCGCGGTCAGCGCGCAAGAGTCGCGCCGAGGATCCCTCCGGAGAGCGATTCTGACGAAACCTCGCGGAGATACAGCGGAACAAAGAAGTTTCGTTCGATTTAAACCGGCCGAAGGATAAGTTCTTCGAGATTACGCACTGCACTGATTTGAAAATTATGATTATTTTCGATGTCAAGCATATTTTCTAACTTTAACCGTAAAAACAATTAAGAGGACCATTTTCTAATAAATGTTAGCGTAGCGACAATAATCTTACATACATGTTGCTGCTACTATAACAATATGTTTGGCAGCAAAAGCAGCTATAATTTTCTATCGCTGTGAGAGAAAAATTGTAGTTGAATCACGAACGAAATTTTGCTTAAATGAACTCAACGTTTTCAAGTGCAATGTTTAGTCCACCGAACAAATTTGGTCAGCAACTGTATCAACAAAATTTGTCCAGCGGATACGTTTCTTTGAACGGTGATTGCCGATTTCTAAGTATGGAGCAAGATTATGAAAAATTATGATTGAAATTATGAATTTCATCACAACCGCAAAAATATCGCGTTTCTTTTTCCGGGCTTAGAGAAACTCAATTGAGCGAGAAAATACTATCGTTCCTATTAACACTCGCATATTTTCCCCTTCTTAATTACGACTAGATTCCACTCTACTCTCACAGTCGTAATCAAGTAGAATTCCGTCATGCATTTTCATCGACGCGATAAGTGTTCTCTCGGCGTAGTCACGGGCGCGAATTTACGGAACGCAATGCACCGCTTCTCTCACACCGGGGCATACGCCTAGGTCGAATGCACCACTACTCCGAAAGTTGACAGCGGCCGCCATTTTGAAGCGGTCCGCGAAGGCCGCCTTTATGTATGCATTTTTGTACGTCGCATGATAATTACGCCAAAGACATCGCGATACGCATTTAAGCACGTGTGGATTCTCCTTCCATGCACACGATTTTATCTCCTATCGGGAGCGTTCGTGCATAAACAACGCGCGAAGTGCAGAACCGTTCGATCGTTAACGCGTGAAAAGAAAAAGGACAGGTTTACTTAACCGGCGAGAGAACGAGAGAGAGAGAGAGCGAGAGAGAAAGAGAAAAAGGGAGACACGGATGTTTTCAGCGTAGGACGAAGCTTCACCACAAAACTCGCACGTAAACAATATACAAATCCGCCCGGCGCGGATTCGCTCGATAATGACGTTCTCTCATGACTTCGAACGCATTCCGAATGCCGTTGAAATTACGACTCGGAGAGTCGTAAATCGCGGCCACACACACGCGGAGGACACGTCGAGGTTGGAGCGCCCGAATAACCAGACAAAAGGCCTTCGTTCGTTTTTCACTTTGTCCCCTTTCCCCGTCAACGCCAAGTGATACACTTCCGTCTCGCTCTAGAGGCAAAAAGTGCAATCTAGTCCCGGCCGAAACGAGCAAAGTTAAATAAACAAAAGAGCATCTCGAGCGCATCGGGAGGAAGATAGGAACGCGCCGCTGAGAGAGCGCTCCCTTCATCCACACCCTGATTCCTGCCGAATGAAATGTCGCGCGTGTTCGTTGCATCTCGGGTGACCCGCATAAATCGGCTGCATCGATACGCGGAATGAATGTGCAGCCTCCAGACGATCGGCCGACGTCACGTTGACGGTGAACATTGCGGCAACGCGACGTTACGCAATGTGCTGCCTATCGATAGATCGATGTCGAGCGAACTCGAATCAAGTCAAAGCGGTTCTTTAATCACGTAGAGATTTCACCGTCCATTGTTGTTGGCCATTTGCAACCGAAGTCACCGTGAATGAGTGAACCCGGATGGAGGACCCGTTTCTCGCTCGCAAGGTTAATCCGCTCGCGGAGCGCGTCCTTCGCGTCAAACGCACCCCGAGACCGCCGTGGCAAGTCCATTTGACAAGCTACACGCGCGCCAAGCTCGCTTTCCCGAAGAACGAATCGGAAACGTCAGTCGTCACGTATCTCGTGCGTTTTACACTTGATAATAATAATAATAATAATCTCGCGACGCACGACGGGACGACACACGGAATAAAGGAAATCGATCCTCTCTCTCTCTCTCTCTCTTTCTTTCTCTCCCTCGGCGTCGGGTTACAGATCGACAGGCAGGCAGACACGCGCGTCCGTCAGAAAGCCCGTCGACGAGCCGGTGACAGAAAGGATAAAAGAAAACGAATAAACGCCTTGCGGCACTTACCTCGTATTTGATGCCGTTGAGTCGCAACCACGTCTCCACCTTGAGACCGTACGGGGACAGGGAGGGCAGAAGCGGAGTACGCGGGAATTGATACAGGTAAACAACATCCTTCTCGTAGTCGGGGTGGTGCACGGTGCTGGCCTTCGCCGGCGCCGCGTTCGTGCCGCCCGCAGCGGCCGCGGCGGCGTCGTCGTCCTTCTTGCCGGCCGCCTCGTCCTTCTTCGCTGCGTCCTTCTCCTCCTGCTTGTTATCCGGCGGCGCGTCGTCCTTCAGCGCCTCTTTCATCTCCTTCACGTCCTTGATTTCCTTGCTCTCGGGCCCGTTGTTCTCCGTCTCGGTTGCCATCGTCATTCTTGCCGGTGCGTTTTTCTCCCTTTTCTCCTTCTCTCTCTCTCTCTACCTTTCTCTCTCTTTCCTGTCGCCTCTTTATTCCCGGCCGCTACTCCACTCTGACTCTACCACTGTCGCGTCGCAGAGAGATGCTTTCCCTCTTGTTCGCTCGCGCTGAGAGAGAGAGAGACGCCTACTCCTCCCGGTAAAAGCCTACAACTCCTCGCTGGAGCCTGTCTCGACGGGTAGCGCGCACACAACACAAACCGTACGCCAAGCACTACTCGTCGCCTCTTTCTGCTCGCCGGCCGGTTCCTTCCCGTCGTTGCCTGTCCGCTCGCGATTCCTGTCTTCCCCCCTACCGCCTCTCTGTCTCGCCGATCGCCGCTCCCCCTTCCTCCTGTCTCGGCGGCCGCACGCATGCGCAAGCGCCACACCCCACCGTCGTCGCCATGTTTAATTCGTTGGCTACCCCTGCCCTGTAAACGCGCTCGTTCGCTCGCTCACTCGCTCGCTCGCGCACGCAATCTTTCTCTTTCCCCCCGTGCGTGTGCATCGGGGAAGAAGGCTCGGGAAAATCGGCAACGCCGCCGTGGCTTTCTAGCAATGGCTTCGAGTAGGGCTGAAAAAGAGCATCGATAGGGAGAGCAGAGCGCACGACCATTGTTGCCCGGTATACAACTCAAGCCGAACGTTGATCTGCGATGTCCCGGTATGAATCGTTCAACTACCTAATCACGCTTCTGGTCGTCTCGGGTCGTTCCATCGAGCGGACCCAGAGGATAATCGTACCTCGGAGTACGATGCATGCATGCGCGGCGGTACGAGAGCAACGACGGTCGAAAATCGGATCGGTCCTGTCGGTGCGCGTCCCGGGCGACCGATGCACTGCGCATGCGCGCGGCATTACGCGGGGCTGCACTTCGCAGCGCGCGCGCGATTGCACCGCGAAAACGCGGCAACGCCGTGCAGTGAAGCGACGCAGCAACGAACCCCCTTTTCACGGATTACTTTTTCCCACTCTCCCGCGGCCGATGGACTCTATTTGGAAAACTACTTGTGCCGGAACTTGCGCGCCGTCCTCCATGGAGCGCAAGCTCGGCCCGATATGCCCTCTTGTACCGTGCCTCTCTCTCTCTCTTTTTCTATTTTTCTCCGCCACCATCGCCCAGTTAGAATATTGTGTCGAGATCGTTAAACCTAGAAGTGGAATTACACCCTCGGTACGCGGCGCGCTGCTTTACCTCGGAATTATCGATAGACCGAGGAGACGATGGACACAAGCGCGCACGATCGATAGACGCGACACCCTTCCGATAGGACGTTTAAACCCTTTGCGGTCTCGCACAAGTACGTGGGCCGGACATAGTCTCTCTCTCTCTCTCTTTCTGAGAAATCTGCCTCGTAACGTTTCACCTCGGGCTCGCTCGGCGACGACTTGGTGGTTTTATTTTTCAAAAGATTTTTCGAGACACACGGTAATGATCGGATGAACGGATTCATGGCGGCGACGTTGACACGGCGTTGAGAGGCCAGAAACGGAATATTTCCACGCGGAGTCGTCCGCTGAATCTGTCGTCGTCGTTGAGGGTTAAAGCACGTATATATGTAAACCCCGCGAGATATTTTCGACCCAATATTCATGCTGCGAACGGAGCCCGCGGCGATCGCGTACGTCACGGGCGGCGAAAGGATCGATACGGGTGACGATTCCGGGTAACTGTGACATAGGATAATTAATCAGTTGCCTTTGGGCAAGATGCGTTATATCGAGCCATGCACAATCAGCCATTGCCCGCTGTGTGTGTATATATTTCGGCCGAATATGGAATATATTATTACAGCGGACCGGCCGGAATGAATTTTCCCGAATAATGAAAATCCCTCGGACAAAACCCGCGGAAACCATTGACAATAATGGGGGGTAATGCTGTTTCAGAGATAATTTCTATCCTATTAAAGCGAGTAATTTCACCTGAGATTGGATATTGTGTTTAGCTTGATCGAAATAGTTGCGTGATGGACACGCGCGAACACTTAATGCCATCTCATGATAAAGAAATAAAAATGAAACGACGCCGCAACCTAAAATTGTTCAATAATTTGTGATAATTGTATATAGCGCATAATATAGGTACTATTTATCTAAAGTTTCAAGAATTATATGTATACGGTTTTCGTTTGTTTGTGTAACATTCGATATTACTGTATTTCTCGTATTTCGGAGGCGAATTAACGTTAAACTACGTGACGTGCTCGGCTGTGCGCTGTATTTGTAATCAATTACACGTGAAACATGACGAGAAACATGTAGAAAAATTGAAAATTATATCGACGTGACACAATTTTATATCGTTTTATATAAAATATTAGCAATCGAACGGGAGAGAGGCGGAGCGTGGAAAAAATATCCACGCTCGCGATGCCATATGGTGAGCTGCGATGTGAAATTAAAACGTTACGAGTTGCATATACGAGCTCCTCTCACACACGACTACAGTTGAAAATCGATCCGTCTAAATGAAGCTTAAGGGTGCACCCTCTGCTACTCTCTTTTTCCCTCTTTACCGGTGGTGCGAAAAGCAACGATATCGATCTGGATGAAACATGTTATCAGAAAACGCACCCACGTGGAAAATCTTACGATGCGTTTATACGTGCATTATTCATCGTTCAAGAGTTTTTTCAAACTCCGCGCACTCTGCGAGCGCCCATCATCCCTTTTACGTTGAATAACCGTTTAACCTATTTCAACGCGGTATTTTATTGAAAATACTCCGTCCTCTCACGGGGTATTCTCCGCAGCAGAAATTTCGAGATTTTCCCATCGTTGCTGGTATAATTTTGTTTGTTTTTACGAAACATATTTTATTGAAATAATCGCCTACAACGTTGGAATTGGAAACACTTATAACGTGGAATTGTTTTCAGCGGCATTCATTTGATATATCTGTTTCGCTTTATTTTCCAAGTTTTACGGTAGTAGTCGATAATCTAATAAGAAAGACTTTCAAAAAGATATCACGCTAGTGGGAAACTGGCAATCATTTTACAAAATTAACTTAATTAATATTATCCTAAAGATTACGAAGCCGACATATGTGACGTTTGTGTTTCAATATGTTAAAAAATGGTTTCATTGGAAGTTCTATACTAAACGGTATCTTACGAGGGGAATGTATTTTATTCTCTCTCTCTCTCTCTCTCTCTCTCTCTACCTACCTATCTATCTATCTATCTATCTATCTATCTCTCTACCTATCTCTCTAATTTTTGTGCTGGAATAATATAATACGTCGTGAAAAATTAGATACGTAGCGAGCCGAGTGCGTGGCGCATTAACGCGAATTGTTTATTCACAGTTCTGTTTCACGGGCTTATTACGCGGGTCGGTGCAAGCTATACAGGTATACTTATGGGCATGTAAGTCGAAACGGACGAATGTTCGGGGATAATCCCTTACATAAAAACCATAGCGACCTTTTGTTCGTGCAGGTATCGCCGAGGGGGACAAAAAAGGGAGTTTTGGGTTATGCTTCGATGCTCACTCAGCAAAATGGAAAACACATACAAATAATAATTCCCGGAATATTCCCGTACATTGTGACTTTACGAGGAGCGTATTGCAATGGAAAAAAAAAAGAAAAGGTAAAACAAAATACTGCGTATTTTTAATCTCCACAGAGAAACACGGCGAGTCGAGCAAGACTCTGTTACTTGCAAAGTGCATTTTCACCATTTCTCTCGTGCGAGTCGCATTATAAAATATGAAAATGCCAGTGAAATCAAATATTCTCGCGCTCTTGTTGCTTGAAATTAAATTATCCTACCGTTAATTTTAGAATCAATTATCCTACAATTAATTCTGGACGTAAAAAAAAAGAGAGAGAGAATACGATATTATATATAAGGACGTCGTTACAAAAATTTCTTTTGTATTAAAAACGCAGAAAAAAACATCGTCGAGCTAAAACGAAGAGAGAAGAAAGGCGAGTCGTGATAACACACGCTTAAACGTGATATTATCAACGCGAATAAATTAATGGATTAATTATCGTCAACATACAACCAGCAGCATACGTAAACATACACACACACGCGCGCGCGCGTTCGACGAAGGCTAAAGATGACACGTGGCATCTCTGTACGGCGCGACAAAAGTCGAGCTCGGTCCTCCGCGGGAGAATAAAACGGGCTATCGTTTTCCTCGTTCGATCCAATTAATCGACCCTTCGCGGCCGCACGTCGAATCCACACCGGTGTGGTCGTAGCGCGCGCGCGCGCGCGAGCGCGCTGACTCACTCGGAAAATATGTACCATTCGCACGCGCTACTTCCCTCCGATTATACGGGCATTATGTCGTTGTTGAAGATCACACCGTGTGTCTATATAATACGCATTCGCAATGATCGGCCGGAGGACGTGTAAAAAACCGCTCGTATGAAGGCCGATCCGGGTGTCCGGACGAGGAGGGGGAGGACGACGCCCTTTAACATGCACAAGATGCTCCGCTTCTATCGCGTTACTTCCTCGACGAATTCTTCGAACGCAAAATATTATTCTTCGCTGATAAGAGAGAGAAAAAAGGGAAAAAGGAGCGAAAAACGATTGAAGCATCCGTCGTTTTTTTGCCTTGTATGAAAGGCGAAGGGAAGGGAGGAACGTGGAGAGGAATTACACGGCTGTTTTCGGCTGGAGTTTTTGCCGCTCTCGACGGAACACAGAGTTCAAAGTTCGCCGGGGAAGGAGGGAAACGCGTTAAAACGTTAAAGATCGAAGCTCGGGAAGCCTCCGGGAATGAAATTACAAAAAGGAAAAAGAGCGCAACGACGACCTGAAAAAATTCAATTCGCGAATCGCCCCGAAGGGAGGCTGCGTGCCGTCGCAAAAAATTTCGCGGCAGAAGTGGAACACCCTATCGTTGTGTGCAGCGGCGTACGAGTCGCGATCGCGGCGGACCCGGTTCGATACACACGTTTACAGCCGCGACTTTCGCACGTTGTTGCACGCAATAACAACGCATCGACGTGAACTGTTTCAACGTCTGTTGCAACGTCGTGACGTACGCGCGTAACGTCTCGTCGTCACGCGATGCAACACGAAGAGAACCATTAATACACCGCTCTCTCTTTCTCTCTCTCTCTTCTCTTTGGACGCCGGCAAAACGTCGATGAAATGCCGCGGAATACGTCGTCGATGACAAATCGGCGCGCATCAGCGAGATACGCGGTCGGCGCATAAGAGAGGAGGTCTTCTTCAGTGACCTTCCAACACGCTGCAATAAGAACGAACGAACGAACGCACGCTTTGCGCATCTTGCCCACGGTATACGACGTGTACCCCCGCCGATCGAACGTGCTGGTTTCCGCAGGAAAACGTGCGCTAAATTATTAATGCTACGGCGCGACGCATTGTAACTACTGCTACATTTGCGTTCGCGTTCTTCGACCGGCCCGGTAATAACGGTGCGTCGTATATATCTCTTTCTCTCCCTCTCTCTCGCTCGCTCGCTCGCTCCCGACGTGTACGAAAGTTACGTGTGTGTATTAATAACATATAAGCCGCTTTATTCCACTTACACGCGCGCGCGTATTTCGGGCATATTTAATCGACACGGTGGAACGATAAAGTTAACTCGGCAATAGCGACGTTGCTTCTTTGAGCGACGTCTTGCCCGCAGAGAGAGAGAGAGAGAGAGATTTCTTTGGATTGAGTCGAGTTTTTTGGAAAAAAAAACTAATGAAAGAAATTTGTCTCTCGGAATGAAGTAAACAAACGAGTGTTTGACAAACGGGATTGTTTGGTTTCTCAAACAATAAATATCTTTAGATCAAATAACATGTTTCACTTGTACTTTCATCCAAGTATTACAGTGATTGTGATAGGCAATAAATTATTTCAAAGACGTGACACTATTAGATTAGGTTAGGAAAATATTAGAGAACTTCGTTTGAGTGGAATTAATATTTTATATATAATAAATTTTTTTCTCACTAAAAACTAAATATTGTTTCCTCTAAATGATACTTTTTTCTATTAAACAACAAAGTTTGTTCTGATGAAACAACATTTTCATTCAAACAAATACGTATACACCAAATCCAAAGAAACCTATTCTCTCTGTATGACAACATTAAAATATGGAAATTATAATGATTGTGCGTTTCGCATTTAATCGGGAGAAAGAGAGAGGGAAAGAGAAAGAGAAAGGAGTTTACGGATTTCGCTGTAAAAATATACATGCCCGGGTAATCGAAAACGATTTGCCTTCGTGAGTGGCATAGTTCGCGCGACTTAATTTATCGATATCGTCGGATGCAATCGTAGTCGCTGATCTATTCATCGTCTCGCATTTATCGTGTACGATCAATGATTTAAAGCTTAATGGAACGAATTCGCGTCGTATCCGTGATGTTCTAGACCTAGCGAGCGAAATTTGTTGAACTTGCTGATTAATTTTGCACGTATCCTTTCAGCGGGGTCAAAATTCGGCTGTACTTTATCAACAGGTATATATAGATTCGCAATCTCAAAATGACGATGTGAAATTGTCATTGAAGCTAAATTCATTCAAATCAATCGGCGAACAACGTGATTTCATCGTGTCTTCATTAACGCCCTAATATTCTCGAAACTTAATTCATTTAAATGCATTTTTTAGAGAGAGAAAGAGATAGATAGATAGATAGATAGATAGATAGATAGAGAGGAAGAGGGGGGTGGGGGGGAGAAAGTTTGTAATTCTACGTAGTTTCACTATCAAGGTGTAGCATTAAAACAATTGCCGTTTTAATTAGTTCGACCTCGAGTATTTGGAGCTGAAAGATAACTCGGTAGGTCTAGGACAGCTTAAATGCAAATTCACTGACGCAGAAACCAAAGATACGTGTAGCGATCACTACTAACGGGATCACTCGTCGCGATGATTTTGCGACAATGCTGCGAAAGCATCGCCGCTAAGCAATCAAATCGACGATGCAATTAGACGCGCAACGAAATCGCGAGGATGAACGCCATGAGTTCACACAATTCTCCTTAAAATCAGTAAGTACGCAGATATAATTCGTCATTTTTCTATTCTCTCTCATTTTATCTTCTTTTTTTTTCATCATCACCATCATCTTCGGTCTTGCACATTTATTCTTCGTCGTGCTACTTTACAACAGTTACATTGCTTAACACATCGTGAAACAGTCGGTATCGCGCACTCGCGTTCTTAGCTCCTTAATCGATATGAAAATTTCGGTGCCTCTTTTTGATAACGGGACGCAGCGCGGGGTGCGCGCAAGGAAACGCTCGGGAATCGCGCGAGCGAGCACGATTCGTCTTTCGCGAATGCGAAACTCGCCATGAAGCACACTACAATTGCAACGCATCGGAATGGAATTGTTCGAAATATTGTTTTCGCGCCGGCGTCGCGCGTCATTGCCGGGTGTGTAGTGTATGTGTGTATACATATTCGATAAATACGACACACGCTCATGCCAAAATCTCGCACACATGCATGCGTGAAAGCGAGGAGAGCCTCTATCGATAGTGACGCGTGCTCCTCCGTCGAGACGCACGCGAGACGAGAGTACCGGCGAGTTGTTAATATTAATCGATGCCAATTATTAACGCAATACACAGAGGAAAAAGGATGTAACGATTTAGGCCAAGCGAAAGAGACGCGTTTGCAAGTAGGCTGCGGTGACTCGCTGCTGTGAAAAAAAAGTAACGGCAAGGTTGTTGTTGCTGTTGTTCGTCACGAGTTACATTGGAAGTTATTATCCTAATCGCCATAAAGAACGAGCGAGAATTATTCTCTTCTTCTTTTCTTTTTTTTTCTTTTCTTTTAACAAATATTCCCGATTATCCCTCGTTCGGTTTCGGTTTCAACGATCCGCAATCGTGAAGCCGGCCAAGAACGGAAAGGATCCCCGCCTGTCCATCCCCCCTTCGAAATATCAGAGTGCGAATATTTTCCTTTGCCATTACGGTCTTCCGCGAAATCAATCTTTAAACTAATTAACTAATTAAGATGTGTATACAACCTTGTGCTCTGTGCGCAAATTGCATGTGTCGTCCGTAAAAAGTAATCTTTTTTTTATTCTTTTCCCTTTATATATAAGAAATTCGATTAGTTATATTACAAATGATATACATGTAGAGGACAACAATACTAAGAATTTTATCATATTCTCCCCTGTCCGAGAATATAGCGAGTTTTAAACTTTAAATAGTCAAATTTCGATTAGAATAACACACGCGCGGTACCTAATGTATTCGTACGAATATCATGACTTGTGTATATATACGATGATCCCTCGTGTGACACGCACACACATGTAAATACATATATTTATAAAAAACGGCGGTACGTATACCTCCGCATGTCTTACCGCGTACCTTTTTCTCCTCCTCTCCCTCTCTAACTTTTTTTCCCGGCGTTCAATATACAACTTCCTAAATGCGATTACATTTGGTATGAATTACAAAAAATACACAGAATATATATCATGCGTATAAAAACAGTTGCGTGTGTCACGGAATAGTCTACGTGATAATTCTCGGATAATCTGCGGATCGTAATCAAGCTTCGAAACCGAAAGTCCTCGGATCCTTGAGATGAAAAGACGAGGAAGAGTGAAATTTTTTTCCAAATTTTCATTTTCTGAATTATACGGTAAGATATTCGTGCATCTCGTGTACGTTAGATCCTACGGTAATTGCTATTAACGCATAAATATAAGTTCTATATTTATTTACGGGAGAAAAGAAGAGGCCAATTGTCTTGGAATTAACGTTACTAGATTTCGCTGAGTATCCTTTTTCCATTTAGAATGGAAAATCGCGCGCCTGATCGTTTCATCCATCGACGAAACGTACACATTTCAAGGGTTGAGAAATATCTTAAATATCGCTTTTATCGTTTTCGTTGACGGCAAGTCGCGACATTGTCTCATCGACGATCAACGGTCTCAGACGAGAAAGACCAAGTTTGAGTTCGCGAACCTTTGAAATTTTGATGCGACTCTCGTGCGACATCAGTCTAATCCTGGTATGAAAGATGGATTACTACGATGATGACAGTGATAGTAATCTACTAAGTTAGCGAACAATCGTTAGTTAAGTCCTACATAATACTCCGTGTCATTAGTTCTCTCTCTCTCTACGTCTAACATATATACTCTATAATACTCTGCGCGTAATAGTCTATTATGTAAAGTGTAACATAACGCGATATAACATTACTATCGTAATAAAAAATATTATATAATTGCGCTGGTAAAATCGAGACGGTTCTTCTCTCTTTTCTTGGAAAAGTTCCCGACGGAACAACCGACAGAATGCTGCGACTTGCTGCGAAGGAAATCTGAATTTCTACGTACATGTTGCGTCATATGTGTCGTTGAATGATAAATAAATAAAGGAAAAGATTTTTGCGTTTCGGGCCCTGATTACGATCGAGAGATTATTTCACTAGTTTCACTGATGAGCGTGCCACTATCGTTACTGTTTATTCGTTTCTTTCGTCGTTTATAGCGTAAACTAATTAATGACTATGTATATTTATTCATATTTGGCCTAGTAATAATGTTGATAATACACGTAACTAAACGGGATTATTACGTTACTCTACTCTCTGTCTGTCGTGTTACGATCTAAGCGCATACGCGTTATCCTTCTACAGCGAAAGCCGACAACGAACAAAAGGTTCACGCGCATCGATAACGGAGTATTGTTAGCTGCCTAATATGTCTGGTATACATGGAATTCTATACCTCGGGTGAGTTTGGCGTGGTCGTATTGATATGATCCTGTAAGCAAATTCTGAGATCCCGCTCGTCCAATTCGCTTTCAGTATCGACGCTAAAACTTCGTACGGTTTGCCCTCCCAGACCCGTCCATCGTTGTTTCCAACTCTCTAGCCTCATGACCTGCGACAGACGAATGTCGTGTGAAACGTGCTTACAAGTAGTCTTTAAGAGAGCCTCGTCTATGCCGATGTCTCGCTTCGTAATTCGTGATTGCATCGTCAAGACGGTTTAATTATTTCTCTTCTCTTAAAGCTGTTTCGCAAAATGTTAGATTTAATCGTTCGAATTCAATATCGTGTTTTTTTCTTCTTTTTGAAATTACTAGAAGCGTAAATAAATAAATATTATATAGTTATTTATTATTGTTGATATTATTGTTATAAATGTACAACTGCATTCGGAATTTAACTTCTCCGTTTCCGCGCATTTAAATTCCACACTTCGCCTAGCGTGTGCGTAACGCACGTAAATCGAGACGTACTACAAGCAAAACACACTACACGATGCATTATGTAATACGTCAACATGATCTTAGATCAATGTTATTGTTTGCTCGTGAGATGCTTGATTGCCACACCACTTACTATTTCTACCCTGCACGACCTATCAAAGCAATTACCGGGATTACCGGGCGATCGATCTGGGAATTGTTTAGCGATAGTGTCGACGTATTTTTTGTACGTGTATATATACAAAGTGTGCCTCGTGAAACTCGTAGCAAAAAGATTTCCAGCTCGAAAAACTCGACGGAAGAATGGCGAAAATATTGTCGGAAAAAAAAATATTTATCGTTTGCTTTACGGAATTTTTCAATGGTGTTAGAAATATTGCAAAACTTCCGTAAAACAAAACAATCGAGGCCGAATATATCGAGGCGGGATATATTTTCCGACTGTTTTCTACGTTTGTTCGCAGATTAGATAAATTTTCGTAACTTGAGCACAATGAAAGTTTGTTTTTAAACAACTTTCGGCACACACGAGAGGACCTTCGACGCTCTACTGGACGTTTCACATATATACAGCGAGTGTACAGGTGATATTACAGACAGCACACAATCATTGTCACCGCATGAAATCATGCAAATGAATGATGACGACAGACTAAAAAATGAGAACTCAAACACTAATTCTGCACTAAATTCGATGAACTCTTACGGATATTTTCGCGTACACTTTTACGCCTCTTTCACGTCTACGCGCTTTTTCCTCCCTCGAACTAAAAGCAAAGGCCGTGGAATGTTTATTAGAACGAAACAATAAACTTAATCTGAAGGAAGCATGCAGCTAGAGATAGGAAGAGAATACGCCATGCCATATCACCACGCGTATAATACAAAAAGTGAGTCACATTTCAATGCGGACTCATCCGATCAGCATCCGATGGTGTTACCCGTGACAGCTCAAGTGACAAGTGTCGCTGATACTTACAAAAATCACACGTCAAAACAAACGAAATATCTCCGGTACCCTTCGCAAAACAGACGACTTCGTCGTTCGATCGAGTCCAATTAGAAATTAAATCGATCGTGCCAATTTACATTTCGTATCGCGATCTTGTTTCTCTGTCTCACGTGATCACAGAGTGAAGAAGAAGAATGAGCAAGAAACTCAATGAAATCTCGGCTTTCTCTAGAAAAAAAAAAAAAAGAACAAATCGGATTACGTAGTGAGATACGTCGAAAAGTCCAGCTATAATGACAGATCTTTCCATAAATAAAATAAAATTAAAAAAAAGAGAGAAAAGGAAACATCATGCCACGCACACGATACGGTAGAAAATGATGCTTACACATTGGGTATTAAAGACTTACTCGAGCCAGCGCCAAGGCTCAGTCTCCGGGCTGGTGATTGGCGTGGGGAACTGAGGAGACAGAGATAACACAGCAATAGAGGGTTAGTTTTACAAACAACGATTAGTCCCTTCTGGTTAGCATTAGTTATCGCCTGGTACCTTTACACAATAAGAATTACTTATTGCATCTCGACTGTTTTTCTCGCCTAACACAAGCATGTCTCGGCTGAAGAATCGCGCGCGCACGCGCGTGGTGTGTGCATCTAGCTGATAAGAAATCGATCCTTTTCTTCTACCGTTTTCAGATATAATTTAGCAAGGAAGCATCTGATTACGATCTCATGCCTGATCGCACATATTATCAGCGAGGATGCGTTTGGCAACAACTTAATATACTTCTTAAATTTGTTGCTTGAAAGCAATGTTCCTAAGCAAGACTAAATTAAGATTTTTGTCGTAACAATTTTCAGATTTCAATGTCGCAACTTTTGATACAAACGCGCTAAGCCATTGGTAATCCGCCGGAAGCGTATACTTTCGATCAAGCTTGTTTACACGTTCGGCAAAACATCTTTGCCGGGTGAGGTGTGTTGTAACTTTTTGAAAGTAACGATCTCTCCATGCTGTGCTAACTCCCGTTTTCTAATACGACACTGTGTTAACGTACACATTCCACGAAATTAATTAAACTAGTTTTACACACATTTTCAACTCTATGTTTGGATGAATGAAACATCGATAAAAATGTGTTAAAAAATAATGACATTACAGACTGCATCCGAACCATTACAGCAGAATCGAGACTTTCGATTATTGCGTTCCTCAGAGAGCGGTGCAGATATGACAAGCTGCGATGTATCAAGCGCGAGAAAATACAAGTAATCTGATTGTTAATTATGTAAGAACTTATCTTCGATAGCTGGTTAATTCGCGCGACATTGCGAATTCTTAATGTGTATAGGTACTTATACAACAACTATTATTATAATATGTAAAGACGCAAAGCCACATTCCCCTAATTGTTGAAGCACCATTAGTGACATTTAATAAGTATCAAAGAAGAACGTTCCATGTATAATTCTTTCTAATTGTCAATATCTATTGCTGACTAATGCGTGATATATACAGTAGATCTCCTTCAAGTGAAATGTAACCGCTATATCCGCCCTTTCAAAATCATGTTATACATAATACAGCTATTTTTGCTGTCTGATACAATCGGTATTCATTGACGAGGAAAATTTTATTTATAGTAATTAGAGCGGTAAGTTCGTTTTCGCAAGTCACCAGAAGCGACGACGATTATGAAGCGTGTTGGTTAGCGTTACATTGCAGTAAGAGGTGCAGATTGTGCATAATTATTTTGTAAGTGTACAACACGGAGACAGAAAGGCGAATTATCTTGATGTGTACCGACTTTGCAAAGTGAGATAAACTTTTCACGCAGTACGCAAATTTGAATTAAATGAATTTATGTTTCGTAAAAGGGTGCAGTATGTGAGAGCACATTAAAAATCGGTACGTCCACCAGTTGTATGTATAATACAATCGTTGGGAATATACAGTATAATTAGTTATACAGTATAAGTATAATCTTAAATTATATATATATATATATATTACATTAAAACAATGTAAAAATAGATGATACTTGGCTTGAGATTAATATAGCATCAAAGTGAAGTATTTTATTTTAATGCTCGAGAATTTCATAAAATACAGTGTTACACATATTTTGCATAGTTGAAAAAGAGGAACACATATAACGGTGCTTTGAAAAAGAAAAAAAAGTGAGAAGTTTTTTATAAAATGGGGTTCCATATAGAGAATATCTGGGAAGTCTTAATTACGGTTGAAAACCGCAATTGCGATCACATAATTGTGGAACTGTAACAAATATGCGAATCGTTGTCTCAAATGATTGTATCGTCAGCACGATGGCGCTTTTTGTTTAATTTACTTATACAAGGGACATTTCCAATCAAGTGTAGGCAAAAACATCTGAGACAAAAATTCATATTACGAAGTTACATTAAATATGCTGTTTGCAAAATGATAAAATGTGATAGATAATGTATGATTCGTATGATTGTCATGATTATATATAAATTGAAATTGCAATCGCCCAACATATATATTACATGGCAAGGTATGAATCTTTACTCATGTTATGAAACCTAAGTTCACCCCTTACTGCAATATTCCGAGATACTGCACGTTCCTTAATACAACGAATTGCCGAATTCCACGTACCTCAGCCTTTAGCTCGGCAACTTTATCCTGCAGCTCCCTCACTTTCTCACTGTCGTCTAAATTATTCCGAAGTTCGCCCTCCGCGTGCATCTCTTCGTTCTGGAAATACGTTAGACGTGAAATGCTTCAGCCCGACAATGTTCATCGAGCCATGCATCGAGATCGTGCAAACCGACCTTCAGTTCGAGAAGAGATATCTTCTGCGTGAGCTCCGCGACCTGCTGCGCGTGTTCCGCGTCGCGTATCCTGGCCATCATAGCCTCGTCCTTCATCTTCGATTCCAGATCGGAATATTTGTACTGTTGTTCTTTCAATTTGACGACCAGGTCCTTCTCTCGTGCCAACGCGGCCTCCAACTCCTCCTTAAGTACTTTCCCGACCTCGTCTTGCCTACGAAGCTGATTGGTCGCTACCTGTACCTGAGTCTCCAGCTCCATAACTTTAAGCCGTAGCTCCTTGACCTCGGCCAGTGCCTCCATCTCCCGCATCCTGGAGGACATTATGTCCTCTTCAAGTTTCTGTACATCATAGCTCCGATTCTCCCAGAAGATCAGCTTCTTTGGCGTCGAGTCAGCGGCCGCCGTTAAGTGTGCAGACCGGTGGTCTTGTAGATGCCTCTGCCAAGCCGCGCTTAGGTCCAAGACTCTCTGCCGCAGATCCTGCGTGATCGTCAGACAATGTTAACATCTCGTAATTAACAGGTGCAATAAGTGCAGCTACCCTATCGTGGAATATCGTGTAAAATTATCGCTCTCACCTTTAATGACAAGTTAGCTTCCGCTTCTCTAAGCTTGACCGCGATGAGCTCCTCTTGCAGGTGAGCGACGGAATTATCCGGCGTGGACTCGCGCAAAGTCTTCTTGTCTTGCTCCAATTCCTGTATTCTTCCCCGGAGCTCCTTGATTAGGGCATCGTTTTCCGCATCGTGCAATCGGACCCTCACCAGTTCGTCTTGCAGCAGCTGTATCATATCTTCCTGCAGTGCCAGTGCTTCCTGCCTCGTCAGTATCTCGTCGAGCGACGACTCTCTGGACACGGCGTTCTGCTCGAGAACGAGCGACAGCGACCTGACCTCCTCGCGAGCCTGCTCGAGCCGATGGCTCGTCTCGAGGTGCTTGTGCCGCAGCGCCGCCAATTCCCTCTGCACCACAAAAGCGGTCTCCTCCTCCTCCGCCCGCGACACTTGACCTTTAACTAGCCTGTCGGCGAGTTCCGAGGATTCCGCCTCGAGCAGCTCGGTTCGTTGCCTGAGCAATTTGTTCTCCGCTCTGAGCCTGCGAATCTCCACCATTTGCTCCTGCTCTTTCATCTTCAGGATCGTGTAGTCCTTCTCCAGCTTCTTCATTCTCTTCGGGTGAATTTTCATTCCGTACGCGAGATTCATGAGGCCGTCCGGATCTTTCTCGGCTCTGCCGGGCAATTGTTTCTGGAAAAACTGCGGGAAAAGTCGGAGTTTACTTCCCTACGTTTGACGAAACGGTAGTGAGCATCTTCGCGAGATTCCTACTACTGGCAGTGCTCGACAATGTAACACAATTCAATAGCTTCTCGAATAGCATCGGAAACAGAACTTACGATTTAACTCAAGTCTTACCTTCAGCATGCCCTCCATGTCTAAACTGAGCAAATCTTCCTTGCCTAAATGCAGCATCGCCAACGCGACTTTAAAAATAATTTCCATACCCTCCGACAGAAAGACGTCGAAAATGCGACACGCCACCGGGAGCCTTAACGCAGTGGTGAACAGTGTGAGAAACCAAGAGGATGCGTACATCGAGGTATGGAAACCGTGGACCGTGAAGTGAGCGTGAAGTTCGGGATGCGTGTCGGCGACCAAGTGCTCGAGCTGGTACATGCACACCCCTAATTCAGCCATGCTTGGTTTGTACATGTCCCGCAAGCGATACTCTTGCATAAGCGCCACGAGCACGGCGAAAGCTTCCTCCTCCGGCATTTGCTGCAACACAAGACACTGGGGTAAGTGACCGATGATAATTTTTTACTTACTTACGTCGGCTCTGTAAGTTACAAACCAAGAAAAAATAGAACGGGCTTTTGAGAAAGTAATGTTTATTTGAATATTTATTTAAATATAAGCCTTTCTCGCGTCCTACGTGAAATTTGTCGAGAAAGTGCTGTGTTTACCTGCAGTAAAAGTAATCCTACTATAAATCCCGAGCCTTGGCAGTATCCTACTTCGCGATCGTGTAGGCTGTACGCTTTCATGACGTTAAACAAACTCTCCTGGCCGAGGCCATCCTTTTCTTTGAAGAAGTCGTGTTCAGGGTACGTCCTAGCGATATCTCTTCGAATTATCCTCTCGCAGGCTGACGTCGCCTTGATGTACTCGGCAAATTGTTTCTTAACGGGAGAGTCATGGGCGCCGCTTAATAATTGCCAAACAATGCCCCTGAAATATTGATGTTTATTCAAAATAAACGTGTGTTAATATGTGACGACCGATATAAAATATGCAATATTATAAATATTGCTTACGTCTACGTCGAGTTTCGCATCTAAACAACGTTTATATCGGATGGTCCTGAAAATTTCTGCGATTTCTGTGGAAACGGCTAAGTTGCGACGGTTCATTTTGGGGAAATATGCTGAATTTCGGCAGAATTATATTCCATCAGTTGTGCTGTTCAGAACCGCGGGAACTCTTCAGGACGACCCAATAGATCGGAAATAAAATTTATAGTGAGCCACTACCTGAAATGATGAGGTATGCCTTGACGAACCAATTCCTTGACGGAATCTTTGCGCTTCTTCCAGTGGTACTCCCAATCGGCCACTATGTGACCCCAGAGGGTCCACGTGTTCTCCTCGACATCGGCCGGATTGGGGCGTCCAGGCGCAGCATCGCCATTTCCTCCGCTGCCCCCCGACGCCACAGACACCTGTGATGTATCGGAACCCTTTCTACTGTGGTTACTCTGGAGAGAGTTCAGTGATTTTGCATCGGACTCGATCAACCTGGAAATTCACGAAATGGTGAGTCACGATTCCTTCCTGCGTTTCGTCCCCCGCTCATCCAAATTAGGAACGAAAAAAAAAAGATAGATAATTCGCTTAATTGCGAGTTTCTTGCTTGTATATTCGTATTGTTTTACAATAAATTATTGAAACACTGGTAATATCTTTATTTTGATTCTTTTTAGTAAATTTATCCTCTTCCTCTACTCTAACAACTTTGTTAAAAACTAGCTAAGATAAAGTGAGGTGCTAATTTATTTCGGTGCGCAATAAACATAAATATATAGAAAAACGTTGAAATAGTTGCTCGCTACGAGAAATTTTCGAATAATTGGTCCGCTGTATTGAATCGACCATTTTGAATTTAAAACTCTGACTTCAGATTCATCATCAGCGACCCCAACAATACTCAAGATAGCACAAATTTCAGAAAATTTCATCGAGAAACAAAATGTACAGCTCAAAGGGTTGAAGAGCTGGTCTCGAGGGTGAAAGTTTGTCTGCGAGGGCGTTAACCACTGGGTCATTGGATCGCTCACCTGTTTGCTTCCTCCAGCTTAGCTAATAGAGCCAGCTCGTCCGTAGGTATTTCCTGCGAGGGCGTCAGTCGCTGCTCGCAAAGGGTGTCTAACGGCGGACTCGGGAGTATCTTGCCGGTCTGTGTGACGTTACGGGTAGACTGATGGATATTGGAGGTGCATAAACACAACACGCTCATCACCTGCGGTCCATAACGCGACAGACCCAATTGGCCGTTTACCGATGCGTTTATGCCGTCCTGAGCGACGCTCTGGCCTCTGAAAGGAAGCGAAACGGATCGCGGATGAAGCGGACTGGGAGCAATTAACGCGATACGATTCGACGGACGACGGCTCGGCGTGACGTGATCTGTTTCTAACACACTCACCGCCTTCATCCGTCCGCCTTTATTCGCCTTCAGTCGTGCATCCGAACTGTCTTTCTCGATAACTCAATTTACATTTTTCAGTCGCGACATGCGAAACGAGGAAATGCGGAAACGAGTAAACGAGCAAAACCGACATATTTATTCACCAATCTATCTATCTATCTATCTATCTATCTACCTATCTATCTATCTATTTATTTATCTATGTATCTAGCAGTCGTCGCACTCGCTTTACCTTTTCGCGGTTTTATTTCTCCTCCAACGAAACGTCGCCGCAGGGGCCAGCAAGCCAAGAAGAACCATCGCGGCGTTTCGTTCGATTTCACCGTAGCGATTTTAGCGATTCGTTCGCGAGAGGCGTTTTCTCGCGCCTTCTCCGGTTCACCACTGTGTGTCCTTACCTTCACATTATCTCGGTCTCACGATTGCTTTACACGCAGAAGTTGTCGAGAAGCGCCTATAGCATCATTTATATTTAGACACATCGACTGTACATCATCGGTATGATTCGCGCCGATGAATTGCAAACCTTTACATGCCAAAAGTGGGCGACAAAACCCGGATGATTCGGACGCGCATACTCCGCGTATTACTTCAAGCGAATCGCTGAATTAACAAGGTTTCGGGGGAAGGGTCTGTCACGTAAATGTGAACTTCAAGCCGTCGATTACGTACTTCTTTAAGCGGTTTTACGCGCAGAGATTCTCGAGATAACAATAACTTGCGGGCCGCACCGAGAAAAAGGTTTCTTTAGTATTTTGATTTATTTGACTAAAATTTGTTTCATAGAAACAACATCTTAGTTCCCTGTTCCCTTACTGTGGATTGAAGCAAGATTGTGTCGAAACCTAAATGGAAGGAATAAAGAGCAAGGAGTTCAGCATAAGGAATTAGGAACAAGGAATTAAGGCTGCGTTCCGATATATTCACTGCCAGTGATAATCTAGACCTGTGTTCTGGACTCTCTTTCGATAAAAGTGCTTTGATATAGCCAAAGCTCAGCCAATCTCCAGGTGCCATCACCAGGTGCTCTCTAAACCACTTTTAAAATCACTCTTATCAGCAAAAGAGAATTCAGAATACGAGCCATACACACACAGTAGTAGTAACATAAACTATAGATCTGTGATCCTGGCAGTGAATATCGGGACGCAGCCTTACCTCCTCGTCCCCAATTCCTCAATATTAAAATCTTTGTTCCTTACTCCCTTCATTGTATCTGAGCCCTAGAAAAAAAAAACTCCGCAGGATGCGAGAGAACTCCGAATGGGGAGCGGACTGCCGTATAAAATCACTTTAGATAACATCTTTTTCAATAATAAGCGAGACGACCGCCGGCTTTTTCTATTTTTCCACGCTCCTATCCGCCGGCGGATGGAGACAATCGTCGGGCCGATTTATATCTGAAAAATGTTACACATTATATAACGAAAGAGATAACGTGCGTATATCTCGCTTGTGTGTTTCTGCAGATAACAGTACTCTCCCGTGGAGAACGCCCGATGCAAGTGCCGCGGCGCTCAGTGAGGCAACGCGCACCGTGAGCGGCCCCGCACGCCGACAGGAGAGGAGGCGACCGAGAAGGAAGCAATTAGTGCGTGTGAACGAATTAGCGGGCGAAAGAGCAGGTGAATCCCCGAGCCAGTTATTATGACGAGCTCCATGCCTTGCGCCATGCCGCGCGGCTGCAGCGAAACGGAAGAAGCGAGGCGGAGTACACACAGTGGGGATATACACCGTTTGTCAAGGCGCGTCGTCTCGCGCCGGCCGACCCGAGAAAGTTAACGACTTCTAATTCGACGTCTTTGTACTTCTCCTTCCACCTCCCCGGTTCGGCTGCCCGAAAATATCTCTGGAACAATATCGTGTACGTGCGGCATTCTCGGGGCACACGTTACGTATTACTTCTGTATTACTTATCCATATTGACACGGGCGAGCTTGAGATTGAGCATTACGAATGAGCACACTGAGATTACGTGAAAAATCGTGTCACAAAGAAGTTCGGAGTTCTCTCTCTCTCTCTCTATATATCTCTTTCTTTCTTTCTCTTTCTCGCGCGCGCAGCAACGCTCCCGATCGGCCTCCGGAGCGGGCGACTGTCGTTTCGAAAGCGCGCCCGTAACATGACACTCGTTCATTACTCGATATATCCGATGCACACGATACTCGACGAGCGAGCGTGAGCGACACAACGAGTGTCAGAAAGTCCGGCGTTACGTTTTCGGGCCTCTCTGCGTTACTTCGCCGCACAATACGCGAAACGTCAGCCGCTCGGTCTCGCCCTTTGATTCATAAATCGCTCGGATTCGATTGACGCGCGGTCTCGGCGGAGAAAAACAGACTTTTGACAGAGCGTTTTGACTTGTACGGCCGTAGGAAGCGTGTTGTTCGCTCGGATGTCCGCGGCCTCTCTTTCGCCTTATCGAGGCGCACACACATACACGCACGTACACACGCACGCACGTCCGCACCGTTCGACGGTGAATTCTTATTAAACGGTTAACTCGGCCCCGATCCCGAGCTGGCGAAGCGATCGTTTCCACTCGTTTCCCGATTACCCGACACGGCTAGGATCCGGCTAGGCACGTACTGGAAAGTACGAAATGGTTTGAGGGTCGATGCAGCCCGCGCAGGCCAGGACGCTCCACATGCGCAGCGACGTCCGTTTCGCGACAAATAAATAAAAGAACACCGCGGATCGAGTGAGAGAGAGAGAGAGAGAGAGTACTGGGCGTTCTCGTTATTCCTAAATCTTCTCGAATGCCTGACAATGTTGTCCCATGTGTGGGCGTGTGAAATTTCTATTCATCTGTAATAAATGTGAATGAAAGAGAAAGAGGGAGAAAGAAAACGTCGCTCTTTGCGCCCTTGCAAAAGCACCCCTCGGTCTATCGTCGAATTGCAAGTTGCATTCGTTGTTTTCACATTTAATTTGCGAATTTTTTGGATAAAAATTAATCTTCAAGAAGTCCATTTTTCAAAGCTTACATATGTATTTTTTTATGCGCTTTATTTTATTTTCCTTTGTCAGGTTCTTCATTAATTTAACTTTCAATGGAGAGTAATTTTGTCTGTCCAATATTCCAGACACTTTTCTTTAGCAATTTCCGCTCTGTGTGATTAGAATGCCAAAAGCTGAACACTTATGAACGACTTACTAATCTTTCTTCAAATCTAATAATCGCTTTCGACTTCTTCCCTACGGAGAAATATATCTCGATTAATATCACCTCCGATAAAAGAGGCTCGACGAGTGATCGAGGGACTTTCACATTTCCGACATTGATTCTCTTTCGATATGATAAAACGGCCGATCGAGTCTTTATTAAAAACACTTTATCGGGGATTAGTCGAGAAATCGAGAAATGAGTCACCGCAGTCACCCTGACGCATGAAGTAACGGATGAAATGAGACTGTTTTGCAATAATAGCGATTGCCACCTTCTATTTTTTTTCTACTGAAAATATATTCTGAAGTGTGCTCATGCGTGTATGCGTGCATTCGTCATCGTTTGCTCGTCGCTGCAACGGTCGTCTGCTGGTCGTGTGACTAGATTACATCATGACGTAACAATTTCGGTGCTTCCTGTGCAGAACGGTCCGCCTCGTCGCAGAATACTTTCAAGATTCTCCATGTAGAGTCGATTTCCTCTTGGATAAAATAGTAACAGGAGGGAGTCACGTTCTCACGTTGAGCTCGTGAGCAACTTTTTAATAAAGTGCTCGTTCCCGCCCTCGTGAATTTCCCCGTTCGTGAAAACGTTAATGCTAATAGCTCGGGGCTCAACGTTTATAATTCTTAGCGATAATTAAAATTGCACGCAAACGCATCAATTATTACATTGTACCTCCCCTTCCCCCCCCCNCCCCCCCCTCGTTTCCATTCAGTTCGTGAAGCTTGTGCTCTGGATCGAGATTTCGGCCAAATTATCATAGGCGTGTTTTCTCTCGCCCGAATGTACACGGTTGCTGATCACTTTGCGGGAAATTGCCAATTATGTAATGCCGTTCCTGGAATTTCACATAGCGCTTACGTGGCGACGGACGTTTATATGTGGCAATATCGTCGCGCGCGACGACGAAAGGACTGTAAAGCTCGGGTGCTTTTACCGGAGAGTGGTTTGAACGGGGAAAAAAAAGGAAAGACAAGAGAGAGAGAGAGAGAAAGAAAAGCAACGCGCGCTACATCGATAACGCGTAATGACCGTCCGCCAAAATACGCGGTGAAAATTGGAGTCGTGTAACTCCGTCGAGCGAAGAATTAAGCGCGCAGGTAGGCAACAGGTGACATGCTTCTATTTTTACACATAAGAACGATAATAACGTGGCTTATATTTGGTCGATATTTTAATTGCGTGTGTCTGAAATTGAACTGAAAGTTGCTGCAGCCAAGATAAAGCCATCGAACGAATGTTATCGGGATCGTCTCTCGTAATTGGATTTGCAAGGACGACACATTCTCCAAGAGACACATATATTCGCGTTTCTCTCTCACGGCGAATAAACGTATGTCGCGAGCTGATTGCTCGCGATCGAACGTCGCGACGACCGGAGTCTCTTTAGCGGACTCGATTCGCGTTCAAACACCGACAGCGCACCGACGGTAATTTCCAAGAGAAAATTACATTTCAACGGCATTTAAACGGAGTCGGATGATTCAATTGTGTGTACGGGACACACCTAGATGCGTTACGAGAGCGCCTCGTTTCCGTGGGATCGGCGTTATTTTCGCGCTGAACGCCGACTTTCAGAGAAGGTCGCGATATTTTCACCGAATTGTGTCGTTTTCCATTCGAATGGAAATCCCGCGGAAATTCGAGAGAATAATCATGTATCTTTGAACCCCCCTCCTTCTTCCACTGAAGTACAATGCGATAAATATATTTCACGTGAAAACACGCTTTCGCGAATAATTATACCTGCGCGCTGGTAGAATCACAATTATAATCAACTCTTCGGTGGCACGCTCATTTTTTGCTACTTAGTTGGCGGTTGGCTGGGTCTGTGAGACCCCCGTAAAACTTTTCTTTCCCTCGATACGGTCTTACTTGAATATCCATGCAGAAAAGAAGATTTCTTTAGGATTTAGTAATTTTATTTCGTTTTTTTTTTTTGGAGTGTGCCATTGATGAAATTTCGGATGAGAATTCGGATTTGCAATGAAACTTATTAAATCTGAAGGAATCTTCTTCTCGGCGTAGAAATAAGAAATTTCGTACGCCTTGAGAGAAGAACTCCACGTATTATATGTGCAATAATTCAATGTTTGACACCTACAGGATATCTTAATCTTTTCGCTTAATTTGACTTATGAGTGCCAAAATGGGAGAGCATCAGATATGAATATCATCTCCGTTCCATCGGCGAAGTCGCGTGGTTACCTTCAACGATGAACATTCGCGCGAATTATACGTGTACGAGTGCGCAGTGTACAGTTTAAACACGAGTTTTTTTTTTCTCTTTGTCCTCCTTTATTTTCCGCGTTATCGGCATCGCTATCAGTAAGACATGTAAATATAGACAAGCGGCGAGCGGGTTTGCCTGCTCTAGTTATGGTTCGCGGTGCGCCCCACTCGTGACTACGTGACTCCGAATCGAACGTGACCGTGAGGGTTAAACGATCATATCGATATCGACTGCTTTTATGTGAAATTGCCACACGACGGCGAGAGAATACGCGCATATACACTCCTCGCTGGAATACATCTCTGGAAAGTTTCCAACGGTGCATCGAGAACGTCTTCATCTTCGACCTGCGCGTCTAACGAAAGAAGACGATACGGATTATTAACGCGCGCGGGTAAATCCGACAAAACAGAGAGATACGAAAGTTCTGGTTACGAAGTTCCGCTTATGACTAGGCACTGTTAACGCGGTGGGTGGATTCAGATTTCGCGAGGTATGATGGGGGGAATTTGGGTTGCATTCGGTTCATCGTGAAAGGCGGCGTAAAAAGACACAAGTCGATGCAAGTCTAGTTATATCGTCATTCGTCCTTATTTCGCATTTGGTAAAAAAAAGGATAATGGATGGCATAATTAGACTTGTGTCGGCTCGTGTCTCTTGTTGGAAGGCAAGAGACCGATATAGATTAGTTGCCGAAAATGACTGTAATTTCAGTAGGGTTCCTCTCAGTGCAAGAGAACAGAGAAGGCACAAGATCCGAACTATTGACCCGTAATTCGCGGCGGTATTTAGCGCCAAAGGTTGCCGTCTGCTTCCGAGTTTCGCTGATGTCACCCGAGCGAAACGATAAGCGGTCCTAAAATTGTCCCGAAGCAGCCCGATTGTCCGACCACGATATCGACGGTCGACGGACGCGAGTAGGGCTGATTTCATTTCGAAGCGCGATTTAATTCTCCGCTAATTCAACGGAGAATTTCAATTGCGCCTCCCGCCTATCGTCCTGCCCCCTCCCTCTCCTCCCTCCCCACTTATACGCGATTTACTCGTCGCGGAACGGACAAATTGCGACAGGCGGTGCGTGGAAATTAAATAGCGAGCCGGTCGATCGATCCTTCCGTTCCGTAAATCGCGCGTCGCGGCCACGTTAATCACCGGCGAGTCCTGCATAATCACAGAACAGCAGATATTTAATTTCGAGCTCACAATTAGCGGAACGCATTCGACCCTGAAATCGGAAATCGCTCGGGCGAACGCCGCGATTGAATTTTCTCGCGAAAAATCAAATCGGGCCGAGATTTATCGGTAGTATTTGCGATTTTTGAGGAATATTTCGCCGATATCGGAGGAACATACATTCCCGTCTCGCTAGGATTAGTTTGGCGCTAAGCACGCAGAGTCCTTTCGTCACACCGAAATGTAATTCCATGTAATTAAGAAGTTAACGATGTGTGGAAGAGAGATGGGCGTACGCTCTTCTGTGAATGTCGAGTGTTTCTCTGTGTGTATATGCGTGCATGCGTGTGTATATCGTGTGTGTGCGCGCGCCGCGAGAAATACTCAAGCCACGATCTTTTACAACTCCGGGCGATTTTGACGCGGCCTACCGACTTTCACGTACTTCGATACCGTTTCACTTTACAGTTTCACAATAGTACTACCGCGAAATGGTAGAAAATTAGTGCTACCACATTACGCTCATTCGCTCTTCTCATGCAGCAACGTGTTAATTTTATTGTCACGGATAACGTGAACTCTTTTTTTAAAGTCGCGACACGCACGTAATGCATGAAACGCTACTCTCCGCTCACCTAGATTCACTTGTTTACCTGTCTTCTAATGAAATGAGCCTCTGACAATGTAATTGTAATTGAAGTTACGCGGCAGTTTTTCATTAAGAAAAAGAGGGAGCCTACTTACTTTATATTTGAAAATATCGACAATTTTGCAGGACAAAATTTCGCTTCGATTGTGATTTGTGCGATTCTAATAATTTCTTTCTCTTGATACTCCGACTCGTTCTCTAGCTACTTAGTTTTCCGAATATAGCTTGTAAATAGATTCGTTGGTTTTGTTTTTATTCCATCAAAATTAATCTTGCAACAAATCTATCATTTCCGCCAATTTTCCGCCAAAGTCCGTGTGGAAAAATTAATTTCCCCTTTTCACACATATGCACTTATTTGCCGTGAAATCAAATATTTATTAAAAACCACACTTCTCTCGTTTTTGCGAGGAAATAANTTTTTTTAAAAAAAAAAAAAAAAAAAAAATACCGTTCTCTCTCATCTCTCCGGTAAGTGTGGCTGAATAAATTGCCTCCGATTTCCACTCACACACGTACACATACTATATACACGTACAAGTGATGAATTTTACCGTGTTGCGAAAAATTAATCTCAAAGCAACTGCCCCCTCCCCGCCCGCGTTCTGCCCACTTCGCTCACCCACCTTTATCGCTCTCTCTCGGCACTTCAATTAATACGGACGTCAGGCTCACGCATACCGATAGGAAGTTGAAGATGCTTACGTGAAAGTGCCGCTGCTCCGTCAAAGGTGATCGGACGGACGAACGAGCGAGCGGCGAGGAGAATGTTAAAAACGATAACACACGACGCATGTGTGCGAGACACGCACAGCCGGAAAGGCAGACGATACGCGGCCGTTATCGGTATTAACAAACAAACAAGCTGTCAGGTGGAAACGGCCGTTTTCGTGGCCATCTGGTAACCACCGCCGTGTCGAATGCCTGTGTCGGCTCGCTTACCTCGAGAACTCGCGTTGCTTCCGTGTGGACGGTCGCGCGTCCTCGGTCTCGGCCCCCGAAATATACACCTTCCTTGCCGACGCGTGTGTATGTGTGTATGTGTTTGTGCAGGACGCAACGCTTCGGACTAACGAGCGCCTACGCGGCTGTCACCACTCAAAACTGTCGTTAGGAGCACAGCTAACCGCATACAATGTTACCAACGAACGAGCGTCCTCGTTACTGACGCGTCGCGCGAGACTCGACGACAAGGGACGGCCGCCATCTTCGATCGATATTCGATTCTTCCTCTCGCGAGAGATCGACTGTCTCCTCGATGTCTTCGCGAATTCGATCGAGCTCTACTATCGATAGTTCTTCAATTTGTGCTTATGGATCCGTTTGGTGTTTGTTGTTCGTGTGACTTTTCTGACGCGAAATGTAAGTCATAAAATAAATAATATTATTAAAATGTGAACGAAAAGCGTCCTATCACGCTCGATTTCTATGAAAATAGAGTTACTCAAAGTCGATTCTTGCGTCGTTAAATGAAAAGAAATGAATAAGCTTGTCCAATTCGTCGTTAAGTTAGACTACCTGAAAGTAAACGTCCATCTAACCTCTGTTCAGATATATAAATGACTCAATACTCATTTATTAGCATTTTCTGCAATTTTTAACCTTGTGTTTATAACGCATAAACGCATTATTACATTTTGCATTATTAATTTGTCAAGTGCTCTCCGAATAGCCACAAATCTACTATTACCATCCGTACTTATTTTGGGTTGCAGCTTTTTACCACGACCGCAATATTATCGGGAGGACGTTAGCGTGCAGCATAATTTTCCTGGTCCCCTGTACTTGATTCCTCATTCCTTATTCCTTCCATCTGTGTCTGCGGCAACCCTCGAGGTTGTCGCGGTATTATCAATCCCGACAGGCGGGTGTCGCGCTTCCGTCGCCGCCACACAGATCGCAGCATCGCGGCAGCGGTGGCTTCTCGCGCGGGGTCGTCGCGCGCGAGAACGTGTTAGTGCGCGCAGCGGACCGATATCGTCAAGATGGAAGGCGCTCGGGACTGACCCCTCTCTCTCTCGCAGTATGGATTTTGCCGCGTGATTCGTGGTCGTCGTCGGCGCCGCAGATTCCCCCGTGTCCCTTCGCGTGTGAAGAGAGAGAGAGAGAGAGCGAGAGAGAGAAAAAGAGAAGAAGAGGAGGTGGTCTCTGTGCGGCGCTGCGTAAAAGCTCGGCCCCGATCGTCGCGTCCAAATGGTGTCGCGCCGCGGGATCTCGGCTGCACGGGGCGATCGGACGCGGTAATGAGAAAGGTATCACGGTGCGGCGCGGTTACGAAGCGAGTCATCTACAATGGTGGATAACAGTTGCATTATCGAGGGAAACGTCAAATTTCGCGATGGCAAGAAGGTGAGCGTAAGTGAGATGTCTCCCCCTCGGTATGTGTGTGTGTCTCTCGGTGTTCGTTCGCGCGTACAACGGCGTCGTGCCGATGTCGCGGTGATTCCTCCCGTTACTCACTTCCTGCACTGCCTTCCACTCGCCAAAGCTCGCGAATTAGCGCGACGTTCCGGGGGGCGAGACGACGAGAGTCCCCTCTCTCGAGGAAAGACGGGAGACGAAATTCGAACGGACCTATGTGTGCATGTGTGTGTGTGCTCTCGCGCGATATCTGTCGACGAGTCGCTCGAGCACGAATTTCCTCGTGCGCGCACAGAAATTATGTAACGATTACGGGAGCCAGATTCGGCGCGTATATGTGCGTTCCACCGGTGGCTTATTTGAGTCCGCGTTACATACGGGCTGCCCCAGAATATAGACGTACGACAATAAAGTCAGGGGTTGTGCGAGATTAAGGGAATTCTTTTGACAGCACTGAACACGCTCCGAATTTTAACGACGCTTCCGCGCTCGGACATCCCACGATTATTTCATCTTGGCGTTTCTCGCCGAGATGATTCTTTCGCGAACATCCCCTATGCACGCGTGATAATGAAAAATTGGGCGTTAATTCGGTTTAAGGAGCTTCTCTGTACTGTTGATGCATGACTTTGTATTGAGTATTTCGCGATGGACAATTTGAAGGATGTCGGACAAAGTAAAATATTTAACAAGGGAGACTCTCTTAGTAATGATTTTTTCGTAACATTATCTCTGTGTATATATATATTTTTATTTATTTACTTATTTCTTTATTACGTATTTCCATGTTCAGATATTTTACTGAAATACCTTTCAAGAATGACGTTAAAATTTCTATTACATTTCTGTGTGCTATCAATACAAGTATATATTTTATCATACCTATTATCTCAGAGAACTTCAGATAGTGATAGATCTTATTTCTATAGCATTTCATGAAAACATATGAAATTAAGAGATACTTTACTCAATAGTTTACAACAATAAAAAGAAATAAGAAAGATTCATATATTATCATTATGGAACTTTGCAAGAATGTTGTATTTTAGGAATATATTTTCTTTTACAGTGGAAGTCAAGATGGTGCGTTATGCGAAAATTGTCACCAGTAGCAGGTAAAGTGAGACGTCCTAAGTGCTTTTCTCTCAAACCAGTTCTTCCTCCACAACAGCTTGATTGTTTTTCCGTTCGTTTACCTCAGCCGAGCTGATAATGATGCGTTATTAATGAGAATTAGATAACATTGTGTCAATGACATTTACATGTACAAACATGCATCTTACTATTGTATATCGACTGTGCTATATTATTATCATGTGACTAGGGTGGGTGGTGGGGTATGGTGGGGGTGAAGAGTAGGGAGGAGGAAGGAAGAGAAGCAATAAGATAATAAACAGGATACATTATGTATTCTTGAAGCTTCCTTACCTTTTTGCTCTTGCTATCGTGTCGTTGATACCGACGGTATCTCGGTATTTGCATAATAGACTCTGCTTTGTTCGCTCGGCAAACCATACATTATGTAGCACGTTTCTACTTCAGCGCACTTCTTCACGTCTCGATGTGATACTCGAAATGAAAAAATTCATAAGACTGATGGTTTTTTTAAGGCTTTTAGATTTTTCATCGTGAAAACATTAATGCAAGTTAACCAAAGCCGGTTGTTCATCGCGAGTATAAGGGGTGCCTCAACGTAAAGAGAACACGTAGGTATTTTGGGAGTTTAAATATGGGGACCTTAAAAAAGAAGCGGAAAAAATGACAACAAAATTTCTTTCCACAGTATTCGAAACCATTCAAATTGAGCTCTAAATATATCTCATATTAAAAACAAAGGAGATATTTAGGTGTTTTCCTTATGCTGAAACACTATATCCGATAAAAAAATTTTTTATATATCATACATAAAAAACCATGTAAAATCATTACTTTATTGAGAAAATGTTTAATATTTTAAAAATAACATATAAAAACTTCCTTATAATAAGGCAATAAAATAATTACACCGACGATGATAAATCTGCGTCGGTTCTCGTAAACTTGTTAATACTTCAAGAGATTGAAAAAAAATAAGGTCTAATCGTACACTCGTCGCGCGGCAATTTGAAATTTCAATTAGAAACGCAATTGAAGAGTGAGAATGCGATACATCGCGTTTGTTTGCAATAAAATCGTAATCGAGACCGTTAATTGACGCTTTTTGATTTAACGGTGATCGACGTGCCTCGTTTACGTGATTGTTTAATATTTGTCTCGTTAAAACTCGAACGTGTCAACTGCAACAGATGGGGCGTTCCGGATTTTTGCGCTCCACGTGTTACAAATCGGCTACAAATTCGTAGCCGTGAAGAGTTAGTCACTTCCACTTTTTTTTTTCCTTCTCGCCCTTTTAAAGGGACCTTTCCTGCTTGTTATCAGTACAAAGAGTCCCTCCCCCTGTAGACCGCCTTACTAGGGTGGCAGCTGCCACATCTGTTACAGATTGGCTGTTCGAAGCGCACCAAAAAAAAAGGAGAGATTTCCGAGAACAGCTTCGCTCCTGGCAATAACCATTAATACGTGATCCTCGTAACTCGAGGATATTTTAAAACCGCGCGTCTGAGCACTTCATAAATTTTTCTCGAACGGGCTTAACGAAGGGGATGCAAACGACGTGTAACCGAATTTATTTCTGTATATCGGTAAACGGCACGGAGTTCATGTTGAATTGGATGTTTATCGCGGTTGCGTAACGTTGCAATGTAATATGTAACGAAATATCTACGTGAATATATATATTTACATGCTGGGGCTTAATTTTATATATATTTATAAATACCAAAATTCCGCTTTCCGCGCAAAATGCTTGATGGGAATGAGCTTTTATTGTGAATCAATATTTGTCAGAAAATAACAATGCATAGCAGTGCATACAGATGCTTTGTTAAATTGCTGTTAAATTATTACCCGTTTGTATATGTCAAACACCTGTGTTGATTGATGAGATTGAGAAGCGAGCATATTTCTTTTTTGCGCGTTTAAAAACAAATTCGTCCAGCTTGCGATCCGAAGTCGCAAAACTTGAAACAAACGCGTAAGATTATAAATACGAACAAATACACGGGCAAATATTTCTTTTTCTCAACAGACTGCTTGCATCTACAACTTTACGGGGATAGTAAGGATCGTTACAAGCAGGGCCAAACGAAAGCGTCTCTGAGCTTGCAGCATTTTCTAGGGGTGGAGAGCGGTTTCACTCTCGACAAAGAATCTAATACGATCGCGATAATTTGCCAAGACGTGACGGTCGTTCTCGCATTCGACACGCGGGAGCGATTGATACAGTGGCAAGTTAAGATCTCGAACAACTTGGGCGAAGGTAAGTCGTTCGATGTGAGATATATTATTTGAAAAGAGACGTAATTTGAAAATGTAATCGTGTGATAAAATCGTAATCATGCAGAATACTCTACAAATTGCGTAAAACGAATAATATCGGTAGAAATGAAAAGGTCGATAAAAACTGACAGGCAGGTAACATTTACGAAGAAAAAAAAAACAAAGTGAAAATAGTGATTCAAAATAGTTATACATACAAAAATATTCTGACATTTCGGTCGTGAATTTCGATTCTCTTCGGTGAATCGAAGCGTAAATTGTTATCCATAATTCGCGAAGCATACTGGAAATTAATACGTTGAATGCCGTGATAGTCACCGCGCTGCTTACTACGATACTGCTGTATTTTATTAAGTTACATATAAACTGTAATTTAATTAATTTACCGAATTGTTTGTATAGTTAACTAAAATAAAGAGCCAATGAAACGAGGTAAAAGATATTATATTTACATATCATACTTTTAGTGTTTCAATTATCAGTTAGGCTTTTGTATAATCAATGAAAGTCCGGCAATTGACGTGTTAACAAATGCGTGCATTCTCAAACTGTGTCCATTTTCGATGTCGCTCTATATTATCATCCTTACGGTCGAAGAATAATTGACTGTGATTGATTAGTTTTCTTACCGCTTAGCTCTTACTTCTTACATTTTTCTGTGCGCCATCCGGTTCTTACTCTCTCTCTCTCTCTCTAAAGTCAGAGAGCATCACAAATCACACGCAGTGTAACTCGAAGACCAAGTTACGTATTTGACCATGCGCAGATCAGCAATTCTTGATACTCATCTCGTCGGTGCCGTCGAAGGCGAAGTTCACCAATGGGCCGGCGCACCTGCACATTCAGGACCGGCGTTTCTGCATCACCGTCGGCATACCGCCGCGGCTGGTCGGTATCTGGGAGATCGCGCATCTGCGGCGCTACGGCGTCGTCGAGGGCAGATTCTGCTTCGAGGGTGGCTCCAGGTGTGGCCGGGGGGAGGGCCTGCACGTTCTGATAACGGATCAGGGGGAGGACATCGTGAAGACGCTTCAGTTGGCGGCCGAGGGCAGGCTGACGACGAAGAAGCGGCCGCTCGGCCGGGAACAGTCCATGACGCAGGACAGCCCACGGCGCCAGTGTTCCCGCTCGGAGACCAGAGCCAGCGACTTCTTCCCTTCGGCCGCCGTCTACTCGTCGACGTACGAGGAGCACTGCGACAGCTGCAAGAACGAGAGCTCGCCGTACTGGTCGTCCGCGGAGAGCAGGCAGCAGGCCGAGCTCGACGGCGATTACAGGGACACCGTGTCCGTCTCCAGCGAATTGCCCGATCAACCCGGCGCTGACCAATGGCGCAGCTGTTCGCTCACCCGCCAAGGAGCGACCGGCCTCGAGAGGTGCGCCAGCTGCATCAGCAAGCTCGGCACGGTCTCCAAGTCGTCGACCGTCATCACCACCGCCACCGTGAGCGGCATCAGCAGCCCGGCTGGCACGCTGAACAATCTCGGATGCCACCTGCTGCCGCAGCGTACCGGCTTCGACCGGCTCTCGCTCTCCTCCTACAGCAGCAGCAGCCACGACAGCAGCGACTACTCCGGCTCGCAGCAGATCGAGTGCCACTGCAACACGCAGCCCAAAACCGCCCAGTCTCAGCGGATGTCACCGAGCGCCCTGCCGCCGAGACCGCCGAAACCGTCCCAACAACCGTCGCCATTGCCAGCCGCCCAGTCCGTCACTGCCAAGAAGCCTAAGAAACCGCCGATGCCGCTGCCCACCATCGAACAGCAGACCTACCCGGGTCGGAAGCCTCAGCAGCAGCAGGCTGCGCCTCGCGGGGGTGCCGCTGCGGGGCCGTACGAGAACTACGACGTGCCGAAGACGATTCTGGGGCACCACATGCTGCTGGAGCAGGGCCCCCAGCCGGAACAGTATTACGACACACCGAGGAAGATAAAGGAGTGTCTCACACTGCCAAAAAGCTATCCCAATTACGACACGCCTCAGGTACCGCAGGCGGTGATGCTGCAGGGCTGCGGGTGTCCCACGAAGCTGCCGGTGCAGTCGCCCAGGTCCTCGGGCTGTCCTTGCCACAACGTTATGAGCTGGGCCGGTTTCGTCCTGCCTTACTGCCGGCGTGGCGCCGGAATCGAGGCCACCGGGGTCACCGTTCACCCGGTCAAGCTCTCGGGTGAGGGCAAGATGCCGGTGGTGAACGCGAGCGGCGAGATCGCCATCTACGCGACCGCGAGAAGGACGGTGAACAAGAGCAAGTCGGCCGACTCGAGCGAGAAGAGCGCCGGCGACGAGTGCGGCTGCGCCACGGCGGGCAAGTCGAACAACTACGAGAACGTCGAGCCGGTGATAGACACGCAGCCGGAGGCGAAGCGAGCGAATTACGCGAACATCGACTTCACGCAGTCGCTGGAGCACTACGAGAACAGCAAGGACGTGCTGACGAAGAGCAGCATCTCGCAGGAGGAGATCGAGAAGTTCGCGGATCAGTTGAAGGAGCCTGCGACGGCGGCCGAGCCGCCGGCCGAGGACGCCTCGAAGGTGTGCCAGAAGTGCGGCCACACGAAGGAGAGGGAGAACGATTACCTGGTAATGGAGCCGGACAAGCAGACGACCCCGAAGAAGCCGTTTCCCGGCTACCTGCCGATGCAGCCGGCTCACAACGCCTGCTCGAAGGAGATCCTCTCTAGGATCTGCAGCGGCATCAAGAGCTCCAGCAATCCGACGTTGTCGGGCTCCGCGCTCCTCGAGGGCGGTAAGAAGCGCTCGGACTCCGAGTACCGTGTGCCAGGCTCGGCGATGCTGTCCAGTCCGTACCTCAGGCGCCGTTACCTGGACGTCACCGGCAGCGCCGCCGAGTCCGCCGGCAGCATAGGCATACTGCTGAGGAAACGCTCGTACTCGGCAGAGTCGGCGCATTACCTCGACGACGAGAGTCACAGCTTCCCGTCCACGCTCACCATTCACAAGTGCTCGAGCGAAGCGGACAAGAACAGCCTGATCACCGGCGAGCCGCACGGCGTGAACGTCGACAGCGGCAAGATCGAGAGCTCCTCGCAGGCGCTGACAAGCGCCGTGTCTCAGCCGTCGTCGTTCATCAAGATCCGTCGCTCCTCCTCCGTGCCGTCCAAGACCGGGCACAACCGGGACTCGTCGAGCAGCAACGACTCCGGCGTTTCGACCGGCTCGCTCAGCCACCGCACCGCTGAGTTCGTGGAGTTCGAGCTGTCTTTGGCGCCCACCGCCGCCGCCACGGCGATCAAGCAGAACATGCTGTCGGCCACCTGCCGAGGCAAAAGTCCGCCGCCCACGTGCTACCACAGCAGCCTGCCGAGGAAGTCCAAGTCCAGTGACCCGCTGCGGGAGCTCAGCTTTCAGTTCCAGAAGATCAAGATCCCGACCAAGTCCTCGTCCGCGGAGGCCGACATACCCACGTGCCTGCCGAAGGCCGCCAAGGGCTTCAATAGCCCCGGCGAGGTCTCGAACACGCCCTACATCGACTCCCGGAGCACCAGCAGTGGCACCTCCGACATGTCGGACTACATCGAGACCCTGTCGCTGTCGTCCCACTCGTCGTCCGACACGCCCGACAGCCTCAGGTGAGATTTCGCGTGTGTGATGACACGAACATGACGGCAAGTACGTCTGCTCGGCTCGGTCGTTTTATATACTCGAGAGGAGACGATGACAGAGTTCTGGAACTTGAAGGCTCCTGATAAACGCTCGACCTGCTTCATCCGGCTTACATGTTAGTACAGCGTCTTTCATGGGCTTTCCTTGCGTTTCGCGAACAATTTAGTTCGCTTCTTCGGGGAGAAGAACGACGAAGTTTCGAAGTTTCAACTATCGGAAACTTCGTTGAGTCTTCACACTGAAAAAGTGGCCCGAAATGTTCGCGAAACATCGGGAACGAATCCACGAAGGACTAGTTCGGAAGCCGAATTAAGTATTTCTCCGCACCACAGCGCGGAAGATCTAAAATGTGGTCCACAATGGGCGGTAGGAGCATGTTTACCGAGAAGTAAGAGTAGGAAATTAACTGTTCACAGTCGATTATTCTCTTCACATTCGAATATGATCGGCCAATTTCTCATTCTTATATCTTATGAACATACTCCTACCGCCCCGTTGTAGACTACAGTTGAAATATTAAACGGTTAGTTCGTTTTGCTCGATGTAATTTACATGAAAGAGTCACGTGTGTACGCTTCTGTGTAGATTGGGAGGCAGAGCGGTGACGACGACCCTTCGCCCTCGCAGCGGGAAGGAATACTATAAGATCGATCGTAGCATCTTGGTGGAGCAGGGACGGATTCTCACTACGGCATCCGCTAATTATGCAAACATCACCCCGGTGTTGGAGAAGAGCGAGTCACCGTCACCTGGTTACATGAGCAGCTCACCCTTCGAGCAGCCGCAACCTACCCGTGAGCACTTTCTATTCCCTGAAGTGAGTACCACACTTGTGATATGAATTCGTCGGTCGATACTACGGAGGTGTATTAACATTTAGGATCGTTATTCATGTAATGTTACCGACGTTACCATCCATTCACTTACGTCAACTTTTATCACTTTTCTTGACGAGTCACTATCCAGTAAGCGAGAAATCATTGACACAAAGTTATCACAATGACACTTCAGAATATATGTTTTCATATATGTAGTTCTCGATATTCTATATACGACGTCATTGTTAACGATATTTAATCCAAACATTAAAAAACACTATTTTGACGTTTGAAAGGTCACTTTTTGTCACTTTTTCATCTTTTTTGCTCCTGTAACTGAATGGCAGCGCTATATTATTTTAACGATATTACATTTCAGTCTATTCTTGTATTTGTATTTTGAGTTTACTCTTATAAATGTTTGTGACATTTTCGTCGTAGTGTTTCGACGTGTATTAAACTTATGTCATAATTTGTCTCTCTGTCCCCTTCTTTTTACAGGAAGCTTGAATGTAACGATATTGTTTGGGAAAAGAGCTGAAAACTTGAAGTTCCTAGGATTTCCAAACAAAACGAGTAAGAGTATTCACGGTTAGAAATTATAATTGGGGCATTGTGACTATTTACACTATACGCGGATATCTGGGGTTACAGGTCGATATTTTTCGACAGGCGTCTGTCGTTCGACGCACACCGATATCGTAGTTTCTAGCATGCCAAATCAATCACCGAGAACTGAGTAATCAAAAAATTCATTATTCTAAGAAACCACGAGGGAGCGCGCTCCTCAATCAAATTCGGATGTCTGTTTCGCCGGTGTTTTCGTAAACGTCTTCCTTCTAGAGAGCACAATCATAATCAAAAGAAGTGTATAAAAGGGGAACGTCATTTTACGAGAAAGAAAAAAAAATCTAGGTACTAGCGTATAGTCGAAATAACGTCAGTAATCAAACACTTCCTACAACGACACAAACAATTTCTAAAATATGCTCAATAAGAAACTAATAGATTTGTATAGTAAGAATCCTGCCCTAGGGTAAAAAAAGATATGTGCATCGTATACTTTATATGGGTATATCGTTTTTTAAATACTTTCTTTATTTTGTATAAGTATACTTCTATATAGACTATTGTACAGTCATCTTTGAAGGAGATTTAAAGAAATCACTAACTCTTAGAGCCCTTCGAAATCGGGTTTCTTGAAACTTCGTGCGAACGAACGAGCGTGAACATCACCGGTTTTATTACCGTTTCCGGGACATCGGATCTCGCATCTCCTCGCGGACTCCGGGAGCTGAGAACACACTGAGAACCGGAAAATGCATTAGGCGAGAATAGAACACAAGGCGACTGCACATTTGCAGAGCATCGAAAGCACCATCGATTGTACATAGCGCGCGATATAGCGCTTGAGCGGCGAAGTTTCAAGAACTCGTGTTTGGAACGAGCACTTGAAGATCGTTTGTTTGTACCGATTAATAAGGTATTATCTATCCACATTCTGTACAACCAAAAAGTGCACTGAACATAGTCAGTCGCATAGCATTCACAGGGTTTTTCATATACTTACGAGTTACTTTTTAAAGATTAAGGTAAAAAAAATATTACAGCCTTCAATGGTCTTCTTTCGAGTGAGACACACATGGTGAACGCCATAGTCTCTGTGGGCAATCAAAGGCGGCGATATACGTAGATTGTAAACGAGTATTTCTAAATAAGGATTACGAAACACACGTGTGAAAGGTCTAGTTACTTCGCGACTTCGATATTCGCCAACGAAACGTTTCCGTCTCTTATTACTATTTTTTCTTTTATGGCATGTCTCTTGTATCTCGTTTATTTTTTCACTGTGATACTCTTGATATCACGAGGTGAAGCAATTTAACGTAAACGTATAATCTAACTAGATCCTCTTTCCTGTTAATATATTTATACAATCGCATTTCCATTCTATCGTTGCGTTGTACTTAATATAGTTCTCAGATCAACTATTTAATTGTGATTATTAATTAACATATATATGTACTGTATACAGATTTCTACAAAGTCTACCAAAAATATTTATTTCTACTCGTATGGTGCGTTTTTTTCTCTTTTTAATTATTTAATGCGGTTAGGTACAAATATGTATAGTTGATCTATCAAATCGAATAATATATTTACAACGATTATTTTTTTAAGTTTAAACTATGTTATATACTATTTTTAATGTCTTCTTTGGGGGGGGGGGAGGGATAAATGTGTATGCGTGTGAGCATATGTATGACTTTGTACATTCTCCATTATCTTTCTTTGGGATTCATTCTTCTCTCTTTTCGCGAGGGAAGATCGCAGATTTACGAAGAGTAATACATTCGTATAGTATTGCACATACGTGGGTATATCATGCTGAGGAAGCTAGCATAATAGTGATATTAAACGCAATAATAAAAGAAACTTAGAATTATACATCGTAAGATCGGTCTAGAAAGAGAGAAAGAGAGAGAGAGAAAGAAAGAGAGAGAGAGAGAGAGAGAGAGAGAGAGAGAGATTTGAATTTCGTACTGTGAATATAATTGCTATACAGAACATTCTGTTTTACATTCGTTATGTTACTTGGCAGGTCAATCAAATTTAATATTTACACGATCAAAGATCACGGATATACACGGAGATTGTGTTGCTATCATATCGGACGGTGAAAAAAATTTCTAAGCGTTGAAAAATCGCGGGACAATATGTGTTATTGTAAGATGCGTTAAGATCGCGCCATTTAAACGAGAATAACTCGATATGTCGAGTTGTCCCGCCGTCTTATCCCATCTTACGTTGCATCATTCCTCACCTGACATATATATGGAATTGCTCCCGTCAGAGGCCAAACCTCATATATACGTCGCTTTGCACGAGATTGGTTCTCTTAATTACGCAAGTTTGTCCGCTTGTGTTCGATGATGTACAATACACACTGTTACAACGGCGTGTTACACCCGTACCGCAGATCTATTTGTCCGCAATATGCATTGATGATTCAGATGTCGATGAGAGCGACGTACTACGCAGTGTTCTTTCACGATGTATAGATGCGTGCAACTGATTTTATATGGATTATAAAAGTATTAAAGTAGTATTATTAACAAGACTGAGAGAGAGAGAGAGAGAGAGAGAGAGTGATGTACTAACGAATGATAGGGAATATCTACAGCTAGAGTGTATAATTTACATGTTCAGGCCCTGTGCAAGCCGAGCGCGCAACCCGAAAACGAGCTCGTTTGTAAAGCTTTCGGTTTACTTATCTCTCTCTATCTGACAGGCATTATTCGAGCGAGAAAGAGAGAGAGAGAACGAGAGATATTTCAGAGCCACAACACCAAATTGCGCGCGCGAACAAGGAATATTCTTTCGCTCCTGCTTTTTATAGAGTGTAAAAAGAAGAGAAAACCCATCATACAATAGCTTAGCTTACATCAAATAATAGACAGTCTTACGTAGAAGCCTTAACGAAATACTGTACACAAACGGTTTATAGAAAGTGATACGAAAGAGGACAAGTGTTGAAGCTCGCGGACGTAGTCCGCGACGTATACATCGCGTATGATATATATTTTACGCAGGTATATGAGGGACGGGGGAGGGAGAAGCGGGGGGTTCGGAACGATTGAATTTATATTTCTCCGCGATCTGGGCTTTTTTTTATCGCCCCAGAGGAGGTTCTTGTAGTTTGTAATATCTTCGGAAGGAAGAAAATGTATCCGTAAGACAGAGCCGTCACTGTACCCCATGATCTTCATGCACGAGCTCATGCGCGAGCGACATACGCACATATGCGATAACGAAGGCAGCGGGGAATTTGCGTGCGATCGACGAGTCCAAGAGGAAGCATGTCGAAGTGCGAGTTGTTTTTTCTTGCGCGAATTGTGGAATTACTCGGCTGCTGCACGAGTGATTTTTCGTTCGCTCGCTTTTGTTTTTTTTTCTCCTTTTTTTTCTTTCATTCTTTTTCTACGAATGTTTTACATCAATATTATGTGTATTCTCTTATATATGCGTGCGATATATATTTCACATTTATATTATTACTTTTGGTTATAACGAGATCGAGATCAACGAAGAAAAAAAAAAAAGAGTTCTTTCGTTCGAGATATCGTGTGCGCGTGAAGTAGAAAGTCACTCGTATAAACACATGCTCTAGTCAGGAATCAAGTACTATATATATACATATATACGTATACATATATGTATATGTACATATACATACACACATATTGTAGTCGTATGATATATTTTTACTGCGAGAGAACTATTGTGCATAGCCTAAAAATTGAGCACATGCCCGACTGCGTTTCATTTTACTTCGAGATTGTCTCCTAGTTCGGTAGAATTATGGACCAATTGTTCGTTAATGACGTAACGACAGAGGAATTTCGTAATCGTACTTTAATTTTATACGCGAGACTTTTTCACCGGGACCGTAAGAGTTTGATTGAGCCATTTTTGCACCTTGAGTCGTTACTCCCCGAGAAATGACTCGGAGGAGAAAATACGCAAATCGAATATACTTGTAAAGTATATTAAAGAAAAGAAAAAGAAAAAAACGCGAAAGAGAGAGACACATGTGCTAGCTTTTAAGCTACCGGAAACCATATCTAAGAATTTATTAATGATACATTGGTTAATTGAATACGTATATTATAATTAGGAGTAAGTTTCGAAGGGTATTACCAGTGCTCTATTCATAATCGATGTACATAGTTGGTGTAGCCTTAGTACATTAAATCTTTTATTTTGTGATTCGTGAAGACGACGTTGCCGCGGTGGAAGCGAATTTCAATTGTACATAAACACGTATTACGATGGAAAAATGCGCTCAAAAAAGAAAAAAGAAAAAAAGAAGACGCGTCTCCGAACGATTTTATATTAAAATTTGTAGCGACTTTAGTTACTCTATGAGTACATTTTACAATCATCATGTATCGGAATGCGCGTTAATATCCAATTAGAGTCAGAAGTTACGCGATATCGATAATATAGAGACTTCGTACATTCGTATATATTCCTTCCTTTCTCATTATTTATAACGATCATGTCGAACCGTTTCATTAGACTTACTCGCAGTACGCGTTAAAATGCAAGAAATTAAGACTGGCGACTCTTTGTTCCTCGGATTATTGGACACGAAGACGAACTCTGCTCCGAGATTCAGATTCACCGAAACCAACAGAGATACCAACCAACAGATCACTTCGAGTTCAGCCTCGTAGCTTCTCGTGTCCGAAATAAGAATCGTGCCACTTCTACACATCGGTTTTTTCTACTGATCTATCTGACGTGTGCAGTAATGTGTACTTATAATTAGAAAAGTGAGAATTCCATTAGACGATAGAGAATGTGTAAGTCCGAAAAAGTAAAAAACGAACGAAGTTTGTTTCCTTTGACAATCTCTGTTCTAGAATGAAATTCTCCGCCGTATTTGAATAATACGAAGGGACTGTCAAAGTGCTGGGTGCTTTCGCACTGCGCTGACCACCTGTATGTCAGTTTTACGAGAAGGAAAAAAGATAATATTTATAGAAATTTTACATAAGTTATATTATTATAAGAAACAGAGTGCGAGAGAGAGAGAGAGAGAGAGAGAGAGAGAGAGAGAGAGAAAGAGAGAGAGAGAGAGAGAGATCGTCCGTCTCAAACTAATTTTTCCCTCTCTACATATAGAATATCGAGAAAAATGTATATTGACGGCGAAACCTTATTTTCAGAATAATTTACCGATGATCTTTCAACGACCTATGCAGGTTTCCTTTTTAAATTTCCGCGTGAAGCTTGCGCGTATTGAATGATTTTCTGATATTACTAACAGAATTTTACTTCCTGTGTAAGAGTTGTGATGTATACATGTCCTCGACAAGAATTTAATTTAGGTATTAAATCGAATTATCGATATATGGCGGATGCATTTAAAGTTTATATTCTTTACTAGATTAGCACCAAGAAAAATTGATCTCAATTTTTTTGTAATTTATTACTTTGTATACATTTTTTTTTTTAATATAGCCAGAGGAAGATTCACGGTATAATAGAACAGGCACAGTATTCTAAAATGTGCTTTCAGGTGACAGGTGAAACTCTGTTATCAAAAGATTAAAAAGTATATAAAGACCTTCTTTATTTTCTGAAATTAATGTAATAAAATTGTCACTAGGCCACATCTCGCAAGATCGTAAGACGAGTGAAATTTAATGATAAGTAACGACTAATGGAGCTTATATACCAGATTCTAGAACGCATTTCTCATGAAAAAAAAAAAAATAAAATTATTTACCCTAAATTTTTGTAATATCATGGTAAGGCGATAAGCGAGAATGGAGAAAATTGATTAAATTATTATAGTGCGCTACAAGTAAATTATAACTCTCGTACACAGTTCGTAGTAGCTAAAAATCATTGATTTACTAAGAAAGTAGAGGAAATAAAGAATTTAAAAAATAATACTTCGTTTCCCCTGTCATTTTTCCATTTTCATCAGTACCTATCCGTCGTGTTGTGTTATTAATTTCACCTAATATCGTATAATTATGTATTACTAAAAAGAGGAATTCTGCAAATAAAATATTCAATAAGACTCTTTTTTGGTTTATTAGTGATAACATGTAACATATTAAAACACGTTCACAATGATGTTGACAGTGTCAATGATCTATAGTTCCAATCTCCTTTATTTTTCTCGCATTTAACTATATTTTTATTACAGATATACTTCACAAAAATACAATTTCGAATATTCCTTATTTTTATAGGAGTAGTATGAGTAATAAAAATATCGTTTCTCACAAATATTCGATTCCATATGTATGTTCGTTGGTATAACTTGAATATTTTCTCTTTTTTTTCCCTTTTTATTAAATAAGTTTTTTATCATCACAGTTTACTTCTTTTCTAATGCAGGACACAGCGCTCGAACTGAGGATAATCATTTTTTTTTACACGATCAAATGCAAGAGAAGTCGCGGAACCTTGCGAGAGGAGAAATACAATAACATCAATACAAACAAGATGTAAAAAAAAAACGTAAAAATAAAAATATATATATTGTACAACACAATATATATATATATATATATATATATGTGTGTGTTCCATTGGTAATACATTGTTCCTTTCTGTATATGAAAATAATATAACAATGCGTAAACTCTTTGTTAAAACACTACCACTTCTCGTTATCCTCTGGCATAAAAGTTAATTTACATATGCTCTCATTTATATCTGTACAAAAATAAATAACAGCATTTATGCGGGTTGAAAACAGAATCGCATCACATCTATACATTTTGATCCTTCTACTATTCGGGTACAATTTTCGGTAAAGTTAGTTCGTCCTTCTCCATGCGTTTTTCACATCGTATCGTAATAATAGCTCCTAATATTGTATATTTTAATATATCAATGTCTCTTCCTGCCTTTATATATATATACATGAAAATTTCTTAAAACGGCACGTAGAAATAGAGCGTGCAGCGAAGAACTGGAGAAACTGGGTCGTAAAATAAAAACATTTTCATATATTAAGCGAGGGAATATATGCCACATGTCATTATATTGGTGTTTACTATATAATCGCCGGTATTACGTTGTACTTTCTATTATCTAAACTTAACTCAGCTACAAGCCGTTTGTTCAGTCACAAGACAAAAAATATCATCGATCCTTTATCGAAAAAAGAAACTGTTCGTCTGTTCGTTTATAAATACATGTGTAATATCAAAGTTAATAGTCGTGAATTGTTTTTACGTACGCTAGTTTTGGTGTCCCTAGATACTCGAGATACATGAGAAACGATGAGAGAGAATGGTTTATGAGAAAAGAATTTTACGTAGTAAAAATTAAATTGCACATTTTATAATTACGTCGCCGTGAAAACCGGATCGTCACGATTTATATAAATTCGGATTATCGCGCTATAATGGTGCACATCCCAACATAATTAATAAATAGCGTGGGAGAATCGGAGAGAAAATATATCGGGAGCGCGAGGTTGGAGTCAAGTCCGAGACTCTTCGTTTGCCAGTCGACGATCGTTCTACCGACTAAGCCACTGCTCGAAATTACTTGTACTTTCGAGCTGATTTTCAAGAGCTTACTTCCTTCCTTTTGCCTCTTCCGCCCCCGCCGAATCAAGCTGAGGCTCCCGCTCCGATATATCTTCTTCTCTTCCTCTCACGCATCTTAATCGTCAAGATGGTCTATTCACCGCTTGATCGTCTACGATACGCACAATTTAAACTTTTAAATTCTTTCTTTCGCTTCCTCGCGATACGTCCTGAAGATATTTTATGCGTTAATTTTTTTTTTAATACAATGGCACTTGCACTGTAAAGCTCACGTAATATAATGTATGTACGCACAAAATGTATTAAAAAAGGAACAAACAATTATCATAATCCTCTTCCCGCAAAAAATATTGCAGAATAAATTAAGGCTGGCTCTCAGGAACCATGATCATTCTGGAAATCAATGGACAATGATCTCCAAAGTGCTGTCGAATAATTTTTGTAAGGATCCACAAATCAAAACTTGAGATTGTTTTTTATGATATTATGATATCAAATAGCTCGCAATAATTAAGTTATATCTTAAATGTTACTAAAAAAACTTCCTCTGTAATTTAATGGGCAAATAGAGTTATTTATCATTTATAAATCCATGATGAGAGACGCGTTCTCATACAATATATTTATATATATTCTTGATATTAGACGAGTCAACAATGTGTACGAGCCAACAATGAATGTCGGAATAAATTTTTCAGTGGCCAAAAGAGGACTCCGATAATAAAGTTGTCGTACGTATATACCTTTTTAAGACATCTTGTACATACAAGCACATGCCTTCGAATCTTTGTACATTATTATGTTAACAACCTTCTTTGGCTTAAGAATGTTTTACACGTTTTCGTTCATACATATGTGTATATATATATATATATATCTCTAAAAAAAAGCTCTAATTAAGACTTATTAAGATACGCGATATCGAGTTAATCTACATGTACCTTACGAAGCAAGAGATTTTTACATTCTTTCTTGTGTGTAGTTTCGTTGATCGCTTTATATTTGACTAAACTTAACTTATGTCAATAAAACTGGCAACAATAGTAGACGAAGCAAAGTAAATTCAGAGAATGATATTAGATTCATATGTGTGCATCTCCTCTTACAAGAAAGCCCGGTAAAAACGTCAGAATTTAAAACTTGTGAAAAAATGCAAAGTACATAGATTTTCATACTTTTTGGTTTGTAATTCATTCATTGCTCGATGGATTCTTGTATCATTATGTAAAAGAAAAATGTAAAATTATATACCTCATAACGAAAAGAAGAAAACGACGTAAATAATACTTCGACGGGGAGGCGATGATTAAATTCTCGATCGTGTCCTTAGGAAAATAGGTGATTTCTAATCCTAATTAATGCACGTTAGAAGCGTTTCTATGAAAAGGAAATTGCAACAACTAAAAATTTTATCCCGGAAAGTGCTTATTATTAACGTGAATCTTTTATTTCTTCGCCTTTTGCAGTTAAATAGGGATCTCGAAAAACCGTCGAATTCGAATAGCGGAAGAACGACATACTCTGTGTCGCTTCAAAAATATTCACTTTTAGCGAGACATGTCTATACACATCGATCAGTTGGGCGGCGTAAATTATAACGTGCACGTTGGCACGAGACATTGCCGTGTCTATTGATACACACCACAGAAGATACAGTCACAACTTGAGATACATCAGTTTCGAAGCATTTTAATCGAATATATGCTGGGACGACCGTATTTTTTCCCATGAGTTCTTTCATTCATTAACTGATTCTTGTCCCTCGTTATTTGTTGCTAACAACTGATATGATTTAATACGTCGAATGGAAAATTTGTCTTCAGATCATTTTGTTTTGCGGCAAAAGACACTTGTATATCGCCGGTGGGTTTCCGAGAGGAACAAATATTAATAATAGCAACGGATGAGGCGTACACATGCAAAGCACATATATCTTCGATCCTCGATCGGGATTTAAACGCAACAATTTTCAATCGGCAATTGCGTCCAGGTAAATTTGTATTTCTCTCAAGTTTCGTGACCATAGCTTTTCCAAATTTCTCGTATGTATGTATTATGTATTATCTATGCAGACTAGACTCTAGCGCTCGGTATTATAGAGTATTGTAAATCTACCTTTCTTTAGTCCTATTTTGTCCTAAACTCTAGTAATAACTCAGTTCCTCGATAACAACCATTTTTAATGTTAATGTTAATTAACGATTAGAATATATAGCCTTATTCTTTTAGAGACCGATATCCTTAAATAAGTTTTTTAAATAAAAGTAATAAAACGTTTTCATCGTCGATAAAGTGTCCTCACCGTCGTCTTTTCTTCTCGTTTTGCAATTTTTATAGTCGCAGAATCTAAAACACAGTCTTTCGACAAACAAGCGTGCGTGCTTCTTCTTCTTCTGCAATATAAAGCCACGATAAAAAGACTTCGTCGAGTCGTAAAAACGTCTGCCTTCGCTATAAGATACAATTTGACTCAGCAAATACACGGTAAAAAATAAATTAGCGCGAAATCAATATAATTATCTTATTACTGGCGTAAGTACGTCGGGCCGTTGTATCTCGTAGGCGATTAATACTACATTAATACTACATTAAACGAAACCGTCCTCGGTAAAATGTACTCCTTATCGCCAATTAGTCTTCCTACAGAGCTATGTATAATTGGTTATATCTAGCCTCGAACTAACGGTAATATTAGGCAAAATATTGAGACTTAATATTTCTAGATCTATCGCCAAATGAGAATAAAATATTTGGCCATGTAAATCTCACGATAATGAGAGAGAATGTGACGGATCTGTATGGGGAAAGGCACGATGCAGAGAAATGGCCGAAACCGCATGTCAGTGAATTATAAAAATATATACCCTATTTAGTGAATGTAAAAAAACAATACTAAAACTTGTATGTGAGTAATTTTCACGTATAGAGACGTCGTTTTGGATAAAATTAATGTCTTTAGTGCCAATGTGCAATTAAAGTCGGTATATCTTCAAAACAATTTTTAAGTTACGTCTTTTCCCGAATTCAATTTTGTCGTTTCTGAAAGAAGTGATTTCCTAAAACTTTCGTCGTCCCCCGGATAAACGGTACCGATAGCGTTCTATGTTAAGATATGTCAAGACATTTTTGATTTGATGAATAACAACATTAGCGATATATACGTAGTTCAAAAATAAATAAAATTTTCTTTTACTTATCTAGAGCATACACAGGGTGTCCCTGATCAACACAGCCCAAGTTCGAGGGTACAGAACATATTGAGGTAAACCAAAAAATCCCGTATCGTTTTGTGGTATTCGTAATAATTAATTAATTCGTAATAGTCAATTGATTAATCTTGAATGAACCGGGAAATCCGGCTTACCGCTTCCCTGCGCTCATTAACTCATGCAGATTGATTAATTCCTCGTTAACTATTGCGAATTTTGCAAAATGGCATATAAATTTTCAATTCAGTTTCACTTCGTTCTACCTGTATACCACGGATGTAGAGATTTCCGGATACCCTGTACATGACATCGGTGTAACGTAAATATTGAGCATTATGAGGGTACTATATGCTCTTCGACACTCGTATAATGTTTGCAATGCTGAAAAGAGGAAGAATTAATCGCGCGTCTAATTTCCCGAATAACTGGCCTGTCGTTATCGAACGTGATTGCGTGGTAAATCGCAAAGAAACTTCTAGAAGAAGCTATCTGCAATATTTTTCGTTAATCTTCAATGTTCCTGTAACAAGAGCTGAGACCGTATATATAAAAATCATTGTAATAGTGTGATCACTAAATGCAGTTGCGAAAGAGCGTAGAAATGATGTGTATGTATATGAGAAAGAAAGAGATGGAGTGAGGGAGGAGGGGGGGGGGAGAAAGAGAGAATTACACATTTCACAATTTCTTCACCAATAAGCGAATAGGAAAGCTCTCTCTGCTTCTTGGTGTTTCCCCTGTGCTACTCTGCGTCGCTTGAGAATGTAACAGCATCTTACACAATTTGTCGACCTCCTCGTCGCTCGAGCTAAATCTATATAAACGCCTCTCACCGGAGGAGCTCTGAGAGTCATCACAGTTCTCAATGTCAAACCTTAGCCGAGACTCCAGGTGAACGGGGCTGGACGCTCGTGTGGCGGGCGCGGTTCTGCTGCGAGATCCGACGCTTCTCAGGGGGATCTTGCTGAGGCCCTGATTATGGTTCACGTCCAACGTTGAGAAGTATCCTCTTATGGTCCGCCGGGCCGTCGAGTAATCCTCCAGGCTGTGCCGCTTCACGCACTGTTTCGTCGTCTCCTTCGAGTCCGGCAGCTTCAGATTTCCGAAGTTCGTGGAATGACGCTTGGTCCGGTCCAGCGTACACTTCGTCGTGGAGTTGGTGGTGATCTTCAGCTTGTCCTTCTCGAGTATGAGGGAACTGCGCTTCAGCTTCTCGTCGATGATGGGCCTCTCTTGGCCGGCATCGAAGCCGAATCTGGTTCTACCGTGCGGCGCGGAATACCGCTTGGTTCTCGCGTCGAACTTCGACAGGTGCTGCTCGGCCGACAGATTCTCCTTCGCGACGTTGCGCTGCAGACCGTCCTCGTAATCTATCGACGTCGGCGTGCCGCTCCTCGACGACGCGTCGCTTTCGCCCGTTCTACGCTTCATGCAGTCCTCATACTCGACGGATGAATGCCTTTTGAACTTGCCCCTGTCGAAGTTCACGCTGCTGCCCCGCGGCCGGACCATAATGTTCGATCGCCTCCGTCCGGAGATGAAGTCCTGTAGGTGCGGTATCTTGGACGTGCTCTGCGAGGAGGAGGAGGAGAACTGCGCGGGTATCCTGATACCGGTGTCCACCAGGAACTCGTCGTCAGACTGCATCATGGGTATCTCCGGCATGGAGCTAAAAGCCCAACAGGAGTTATAATGCGCCGCGTTGGTCAGTGCTCGCAGAGCGGCGAAGTTCGGCGCCCTGTCTTTGCCGGCGGTATTAGTAGGGAATTCGCGCGTATAGTCCCCCCGTGTTAGTAGGGGATTCTGCTGCGGCTCTTGCTTGTTTTCCCTCATGAACGAGAGGACAGATTTGGCGACAACGGAAGAATTAGGGTCGCTCGTTTGCATCTGCGACTGCTTCCGAAGCTTCATATGATCGTCGATATCGTCGATATCGTGATAAGACCGGCATTGGGAAGCGTCGCTTTTGTACTCTTGCTCGCATGCAGCATCCGGCAGCGTCAGGAGAGCCTGGAATACCGCCAGCTTGGAGCAGCTGCACTGTGGCTTTTGTGCGACGTAATCGTTAGACGATTCCCCGTTCTCGAATTTAAGGTGCGACGTATTAGTATTGGAGTTGAAATGTGACATTCTTTCCCAGGGGTGTGTTAGTTGAGTTCTGTTAGATACAAAGCGGACACACAAATCAGAATTCTGCCGGGGAGTTTCCGGGGGGAAGAAATTGAAGCCCTCTTCAATCGCGCATGCTTGGCTTACCTTGTCTTTAAGCTGTCCACTGTCTGCCGCGAGGATGCAACTCCATCTACCAGATATTTGTCATCACATTAGTAGAGGCAATTGCGAAAGACATTATTACTTTAATTATATTCAATATTTTTTTTCTCATTTGAATCATTGCATAACGTTACTTAAAATTCATCTAAAAATTCGTTCTCCTCGATCGTTAACGCAAGTTCGAGTTTGTACTTTGGGGAACAGTTGATTCGCAACGGGTGACAGAGGAGGTTTACTTGAACACGGATTTCCCCTTGTCACGTTCTGTTATCATTAAATAAATGTATATGTATATATAAGCATATATATTGCTTACATTTCATTGATGACTTTATTTCATACGATGTCTCATTAATCTCCATCGAATGCTCACCTTTGGATTGCGACCTAAAACACGAGATGTATTAATTCAATACACGTGATATAATATACAATAATAAACTTGCAAATAGATAATATATTCTACTGTAACTTTGTAAATTGTTGTATATCATTGAAATTGCACTTACATTCCTCTCCCCCGTTCTACGCTTGAACCTTCAGTACTTGTTTTTGACCAACCACCTGAAGGAATAATATTATTTAAATCTTTAACAAGTGTTTTTTCTCGAGTTTTTATCATTTTTAGAAAAAAACTATATAATTCTAATAAACAATGAAATTGATCTTAAAATGGCCTTGAATTATTGACAATACAACGAAGTTAAAGTCATCAGAAATGTCTCCCTTCAAATGTCCACCCTACAACTTTTGTCTGAAACATTTTTTTTTTATTTTGTTTTGTTTTTGTTCTATTAAAGTGTCTCAATTTAAATGTCTAATTCTTTCTCTCTCTCTCTCTCTCTGTGTGTGTGTGTGCGCGCGCGCGCAATAAATTATATTTCACTAATACCTTTTTTAGTATTTGTTCCAGTCGTTAATTTTCCTGTACCTATACCTGACAGTTTCTTTTCTTCTTCCAATTTTTTAGAGTCTTCCAAGTCTTGCATAGTAAATTTTGTCGCGAACTACACAAAAAGAAAAAAAATATTCAAAGAAGATAATTATAAATATATATATACGCACAAGTGAACGTACAGTTTGACCTTCATATTTGACATCCGTTTCTTCCAACGTCTGTGTGACGTTTTTCAAAATAAATAACACATCTCTATCTTTTTCATTGTTATTCAAGTGTCTTATAACCGATTCTAACGATGTCAGCAGTTTCTTATCAGTTGGTATCCATAGCTGACTTTTCAGTTGTGGCAATAGAGACACCACTTTCATTCTTATGTTAGCTATCGGATCCTCAGCCAGAATCAACAAAACATTGAAAAAATGTTCCTTAAAATAAGAGGAGGAAAAGATCTCTAGTGCTTCAATCATTATGCGAACAAACATCATTCTCACGTAACAGTCAGGATTATTGGCTAAATCCGCAACGATTCTGCTACGCAGCTCAGCTCTTTGTATAGGCTTCGTGTTGTATCGTAGAAAGAAAAGAAACAGTACCCCCGCGGCGAGACGTACCGGTATTGGCCTCTGAAATTTTCAAACAAACACCGCACGTTTTATAATTATCTAAACCTTCGAACACGAAGTATCGTAGACTTACAGCGTGCAAAATTCTGGAGAAAACCACTGGCACAAAATACGTGTATATAAAATCACTGGGGAAACATTTGGGTAAGATTTCGAGCTGCGTATGCATTAAAGATGCCAGTCTCCAATTGTGCGTGGCCAAAATTTCGGCTTCACATTTCAGTAAAGCTTTACCTATTTCCATAAGATTAGAATCCTGCAACGAATAATACACAATGTCTCAAGAATCATTAAATTATCTTACACCGAAAGCTGCGAGATAATACAATTTGCTTACCATTTTATCCGTCCCGATGGCTTGACTTTCGATTAAACATTCCAGCGTCAATCTTATGTGAGGAGTTAAGCCTTGAAGCACTTCCTCAGAATCATCTTTCAATAGTTTTATTAAATTCCTCTTTAACCGCGCATTTTTCGGTCCTAAGATCTTCACCACCTACAAATTATCGCTTGATTGTACACACAGTGTTGTTGCCAGTTCACAAAGTATAATACACTCGGTCTTACTTCGTGAAGCCCGCATGCAACGGTCCTGCGAACCATGTAGAAATGATCGTTCGTTAATAAATCGAGCGTCGAAATTAACGAATCTACGTCCTCCGGTGAATTCGATACGAAGATAAACAAAGCAGGCAAATTAAATGCGCAATACCTTCTGCATTCCACATATCTGTCATCTCCCGTGGGATTGCTGCTCATCTAAAAAATTGTGGTAATATTGAATACAATGATGCCGATGATGGCACCGAGCCGCACAACGCACACAAGCGTCGCGTGTCCGTGCGCACAGCTTCGGTCGGCCGTCCTCGGCTGATTCGATGTATCCGCCGCCTAGCTTCCCCGATAACTTTCGTTAACCACGACTATTACTACAACTGTCTCGTCGGCGAGACTGTGCTCAGACCGAAGCTGTGCACACGGACACGCGACGCTTGTGTGCGTTGTGCGGCTCGGTACCATCATTGGCGTCACTGACTGGATATGTCGGAATTAAAGCACAATATGTCAATACTTTTTGAAACCAGTTAATACAATAATCGAGATAATTGAAAAATATATAAGCTAATCTTTAAATATATATTTAAGTATAAATAAAATATTAATTATATTATTTATATATATATAATGATAACACTCACAAAAGTAAAGTGTGTCTTTTCCTTCTTCGATGATGCTATTCCCACTTGTGCAAGTTGCTGATAGTACTTCAAGAACCATACTTTGTCCGACATTGATAAACACTCTGAAATCGCATTGAATAACATACATCACGCATAAATTCCATCTGCTGAATAATGCTAATTAAGCATGCACTACCAAGAGAAACGCGAACTCCTCCTTACTTTCTAGGCCAAGTACAAGTTTCCCATACTCCTGAGCTATCATACATATCACATTATCTTCTGATTTACTTGCAATCTCACACAGCTTTTTAACAAGTGGCGCTATTATAGTTTTTATTATATCTGTTGATAAATCGGTGTGTATTAGCTTTTTAATTACATACAGCCTTGATACATCGTTCTCCGGGTAACTCACCTTCCTGAAGATGAGGTAGTAAATACACTATTGTCTGTATAGAGGCGTATCTTACATTGCTTTCTTCATCGCTTGCTAATTCTACGAGAGATGGTAGTAAAGCAGGTTTTACAGATTCAGCGCCAAGGCCCTCCGCGACAAAACGTAGCTGCAAGCAGATACTAGCTCGTACTTCACTGCTAACATCCTGACAGAGGGAGTGTACTGTTGGTAGAACTTCCTTCTGTATCCTAACAAGAATGTTAACAATGCATATTTACTTACAAACTAAAACACACGGACAATGAATTGTTAATTATTTTGATACTGTATTTAAATTTCCAGCTAATATTTCTTTTCCTTTTACAAGAATGTATTAAGGCGCATAGTTGCGTATTATGTGTAATCGGTTGTAATATCAATATAAATACATAATACTAAGACATTTGGATGTTACTCTGTATGAAATAATTTTAAATCTGCCATTCTTGGAGACTCACAGAAGAATTTTATGTCATTTTGCCATGTGACAAAATATAGAAGCCAAGTATATACAAATATACTCACATAATAGGATCAAATCTCGTGCAAATCTTCCCTAATAATCTGCTGCATGTTATCCTGGTATAGATAGATTGTGACAATTGTCCTTTATTTATACTCAATGGAAGAATCTGTATATGACAATGTTCTCATTATCCATCAGAAATTATTGTTACTACATTTTACATAACAATTCAGTACTTCAAACATTGATTCAAAGTGTTAATGATGTAAACTTATTTGGATGATACAAAATATTAATTTCTAAAATCGTATTTACAAACCTGTGCTCTTATGATTTCTACCGGCAGTAACTCTATCACATCCAGTAAGGTCTCCAACCATGCGCGAGAGATAACTTGAAGGAACAACACAAGTTAGAATAACACAACGATATTTGGGTCCTGACTATGACCAAATATTATGTAAGATAATAATACAAAATGACCGTGTTTGTGATAATTAAATATACTTACCAGTGTCACGACTCTCCACAGAATGTAATATACTTTGAAGGAATGTCTGGCTGAAAACATTGTGGCTGACAAGCTTCTGCTCCAAAATTGTTTTGAATGTGGACGACGCTGCTATATGAAATTCCGTTGATGCAGTAGCCAGGGTCTGCTGCATTTTAGGTACCACTCGAGACATACATGATTGCGTATCACTGACTAAAAGACTTGGTAGACTTTGTATAACACTAAGCTTCTGGATTTCATCCCCCTTCCTAAAAAAAATTCATTCTTAACGTTGTATTCCCTTACATTGTCGGGATAAAAAAAAGACGCACAATCAGCCTTTGGTAGGAAAAGGATGCATGTGAGAGAGAGGCAGAGGGAAAGAGATCATACTTGATTCAAGATATTGACAATTATAGCTCGAAATCAGCTTACGAGATCAGCATTTGTAACTTTCTGCAATCTTAATCTAGCTTCAAAATATACGAGTCAATTTTACGGGATTGCGGGGGGTTGGTTAACCTAAATCTCGAGGTACGTGAACTTCCTACAGTCCTGACATCGCTCGCGCGCCACTCGCCACGCGGGGGGGAATATCATACTGTCTTTAAAGGACTATAATTAGCGCGCTCACAGGACTGCAACAGTGCGCTCCTTGAACGACATGTTATTTTTAGGAGGACACATGGGACTGACGAGGGGGACGAGGGGGCTGACAAGCTCTCGTCGACGACTCCGTCAGGAGAGACACGAGTTCAGTGTGAGGTTCTCGCCTCACGTCGCGTACAGCACGCGCGCCAGCTACTCACGGATCGAGAGCGATCTCGTACGGGACTTCATCTCCCTCGTGCAGCATTTTCAAGGCGCATCTTATTCATCGATGTTGCAGTAAACACGGCGGGACACTGTTGTTGATCGATCGATCACGGGGAGCCCCTACGCGAACGCGGCACTCACGTAGGTGCGTTCATGACGTGTTCCTCAGCCGCGAGAACAGCAAGCACCGCGAGTAACACCGCGAGAATGCACCTGAATGCACGTATACTGAACAACTGATGACAACCAGGAAGTGGAGGGGACACAAACTCGCTCTTGTAAAAATTGGACGCAGTCCCGGGCGCCATCTGCACTCGGCCCCAGCCGAATTAGACAGGTGACGTCAGGCGAAGCAGCGATGCGCACACGTACATGGTTGAGCGTAGCTGCAGTAAGCAGTAAGAGTATATTCGTAAGAAGTGAGAATAAGGAATGGACCAATCGTGTGTGTCGATTCGAGTGTAAGGGGAATAATCGACTGATGATTGGTCACTTTCTTATTCTTACTTCTTACGAATATACCCCTACCGCCCATTGTGGACTACGCTTTATGTGTGCATACGCATGTGTATCCTCATTCCGCGTGACGTCACCTGATCAGTTCGGGACTGAGCGCAGATGGCGCTACGTGTAAGTGACGCCACTTGCAAGGCGGGAGTTTGTGTCCCCCTTGAAACAGCGGACTCCGTGCGATTTTCGCGATATCGATTCCGTCTGAGAGAGAGACGCACGAACGAAGCCGACCCACGCCGAATGGTGACGAGCACGGCCCACATATTGGGTGGCGAAAAGGCGCGTGACGCACCGCGCGCATTACGCGCCGAGGGCACTGCGTTGCGTAACCGCAAATGCGACACCGGGATGATTTAGCGCTCGCGTCATCCTGCAATTCGATGCGCTGGCGAGTAAAACACGCGCGACGGAGATTTACGCACGGTCTCCCCCGGTGTTATTCGCGGGAAAACGCGCTGGGAAATGCAACGAGTCGATGTCCCCGCGACGATATCGTGGTGTTCCGGAATCATCGAATTTAATATCGGACGAAAATCCAAGAATTCATATGACTTTTGTTTATCCCGTTTGACGAAAAAAAAAAAAAAATATATATATATAGGATAACGAGATTTAATTAACAAGATTTAATTTTTGCATGTGTTACAGTATCTGTGAAAATTTCAATTAAAGGGTCGATTGATTGCTTCTCAAAGGATTTACGGGGAATTAACGATCGATATGCCAGCCACGTATTCATCGCGTAAACATCATCGGAGGATACCTGCTACTTCGACGTTATGCAGGTTTAATCAATGCAGCGTCGACCTTGACTCGGTAATCGAATTACGTATTTCTGTTCAAGGTTTAATACGTCGATTTCTCAGCGCAATGTATGCAGAATCCACGCTCTCGCGCGTGCAGGCACGAGAGGAATAAAATTTTACAAAAGATCCAGCCTTATAGTCTTGCGTTGATTGTGCAACTTATTATTAAAATCGAGCGATTATTATTTAAATCAGACGAATCTTTTAGAATAAATAATTAGCAGGAGAAATTCTAAGCGTATTATAATATAGAAGGTAACAAATGCATCGTTTACTCACGAGAGAATATAAAGCGCCCTTTCCACAGGTTTCCTTTCCAAGCCAACATCCAAGGAGTGTCTTCGCAATTGCTCTTCATTCTAGGATAATGATACTTCAATTAAATTTCGCCGAAGCGTGAAATCAAATTACGTGCATGCTCGTCGAGGTTAATAATACGCGAGAAATAACTTTTCGTAGATTGACAGCGGCAAGGATACTTTTTAACGAGATGTACACAGTACACAAATGGAAGTGAATAAATAATGTTGGGAGGAATCGATAAATACTAAGTACCCTTATATCAGGTAATGGCCTATCTAACTGAAGACTCGCAAATTCGTCGATATCCATTTCCGTTTGTAACTTTATGTAACCTCATTAACGTCACTCTTGTTGACAACAAATGATACGTTCACGTTAAACATCTGGCGCGCGAGCTCTTCTATTTGCTTTTGGATCGTGAAAACCGAAAATCGAGGTCTAAAAATTACAGACCAATCAGATTCAAGAGTTCACCGCGAACGATACCTAAATAGAAATATATTAAACGCGTTTGAGACGGAAGAAAAAAAAAGCTCTGTAAACAAGAAAGAAGATTTTTTTCCCGGGAATTTAATTATAAATGCATAAAAACTGCATAAGAGGATCTGTCGTCACGATCGTTTTATTTCATTTGCGCAAATTAATTATTATTACACAGGGTAATTTTTATTTTTTATTTTCACTGGAAGTAATATTTCATATGTATATACACATACAATGTTCAGTATGTAAAGAGAAAAGAATGATGCGCGCATGTTGAACGGAATATACACGGTCCGTGTTTCATATCGATGGAAGTTGTGGACATAGCACGGACACGCACCAAATGAAAATGTTATCGACCCTATCAGAAAGTGGAAATAGCGTAATAGTTCCAACGTCAAAATTGGCAGATGCAGATGGCGTATTAAACAGTCGCATAAAACGATATTCTCGCGAATAGGAACTTGTGTTTCTCAGCCATTTAACAAGAAGTAAAACGATATCACGCATGGGACAATTAGCTAATAAGAATCCAAATTTTCCGGCAATTTCAACGAAAAGAAAAAGAAGTAAAACTATATTAAGGAGGTTACGCACTGTTTGGTGACTGGCGAAAAAATATACGATTCTTGAATTCGAGAAACACTTCACGAAAGGTGTGTTTATTGTATTCTCAAGGACTCCTCTCAGGTTTCTGATGTTTTCTCTTCCTGCTGAACAGCGGGAATATCTACCAAGCAAACATAAAGTAATAATTATTTCAGCATTTTTTTCAGCATTTGTTAAAATAAACTTTCGTCAGTGATCTTTCTGCTGCAGTTATTTCATTATTTATATTTATTGCTATATGTTTTTGGATTTTTGTACTTAAGGTAATATAAAGGTCATGTTATCACAGATCATTGAATTAATCTTGACTTAGCCATTACGTAGCAATGATAAAAAAATATGTAGTCCAATGTGAAAAAAATATGACTGAGAAAAATTTTTTGCTTATCATGATATTTGTTCCTTCCAAATAAATAATCTTTCTCTGATATTTTACCTTATCATCAGAAACAAGCGAAGAACTTAAGGTCGATTCTACATTAATCGCGCAGTCGCAAGGTTGCAAGAAATCGACTAATCGCAGTTGATTATTTTCAATCGCGAGGAAAATAATTTACTGTGATTGGTCAATTTCTTGCGATTATGCGACTAATGTAAAATCAGCTTAAAGTGTTCATGTTAAAAGGGTCATCGTGTATATTGTGGCGGAACACGACATAACTGAAACATGCGGAGTTGCTTACTGTGTTGCGTGGCTTTGTTTCTCTTTTATCTTTTTCTTACTCCTGCTTATATGTGACACAGTGATACATTTGCGTTAGAAAGTGTTAGAAAGTGTAGAGCCGGTACCTACCGTATGATTGGCTGATATGATAAAGTTTATACATACGTAGCTCACGTGACCCTGTTGGCGCTCTCCGCTATCAACGGCTCCTCTAATCAGAATACGCGGCGTATATGAAATTTACCCATAAGCACTGACGAGCGATTCCGGTGCATCTTGGATACCACGGATTTCGAGAATTTCGTCTTCCTGGGTCGTCGTATTATCGTAATGTATAATCAGTTTTATATTCGTGTTACTGTTTTCATCCACGAAAATAATTAGTTTAATACTCGATATAAACATATAAAGTAATTCCACAGGAATTTTATATGAGAATTCTTTACTATTTCTCTGCACTTAATGGCTTTACGTAGTTACAATCTTGAAAGAGGGCTACACGAAGTAATTTTATGTTATAAATTGAAAAAACTAGCACCTGTGATAGTGTGCCTTTCATTGCGAACAATAGAAGTTACGTTTTTGTATGAAATTTGAATCATCTTTTTAATATATATATATATATATATATTTGATCAGATAATACAGAGAATTAGCATAATAGCTTTAATATATGTAGAAATTACAATCTTAATCAATTTAAATTTCTTATTTGATATTAGCAGAAACATATTTTAGATGTCTCAACGCGATAGGAGGGACTATGATCCTTCTGAACCATCAACTAGTAGTGGGTATCGTAAAACAGGAGCATCTTCCTCTAGCAGGACACCTTATTCAAGGTCTCAAGAATCAGTAAGTCTGTGAAGTTCTCGAAGATGTTAGCTATTTGTACAAATACAGGAAAGCTTCAACATGTTTCCTTTATTTCATATATGAGAAATATCAATTAGCCCTATCTTTCTGTTTTCCTTTCAAAATCTTTGTTGTTTTTATCATACCAATTTCTTTCTCCTTTTCAGTTGGTCTTTTTAGCTATACTGCTCAATTGGTGCAATAAGTTTGAATGAGATAAGTATATTTTTGTCTTGTTCTAACTTATTGCACCAGTTCAGCAGTGCAGCTATAAAAAGAACAAATCAAATATCTTCCTATAACTCAATGTCCTCATGTCTATTTTGTGTCACAACTTTTTCTTTAACATTTTTCACATAATTCATAATTTCACAATATTCATAAATCTCATTACTTCCTTGAAATATCCTGCATATCTCGAGTTGTACATTTTCTTAAAATATTTTATAATTTGATTATTTTTTCTTTGTGAACAGAGAGAATATCCACCAGGAAGAATAAAGGTCAGTTTTGTGATATTCAATATTAGATTATTATAATATTAATGATATTAGATTATTGCAATATTAAATATTGTATTCATATAAAAAGAAACGTGTATATGTATATAATAAATGATATTTTTTATTTTAATAGACTGTTAGAGAAGGTTCTGAATATGATGCTGGCCCAAGTTCATCATCTACATATTCAGAACAACATGGCGCTGAACCAATGGCAGTGGATCCTGCTGGTAACTAGCTACTTGAACCTTTATATAATATCAGAGAACTTTTAATATTAATTTTCTAATATTATCTGGATGTAATTATTTCTAAAAGGTGGGGATAATAAATCAGTACAACATGGGCGACGTTCGTTTCTGCAAACTACTTTTGTCACCAAACCAAGTAACTTAGTAACTAAGAAAGGTCAGTACAAATTATAGTCTTTAAGTAAGAGTATTATTTACTAGAAATAATATTTAATATTTGTTACGTGTTTATTATGATTAGTTTGTTAATAACTTTTTAATAAATAATAGTTAAAGTCCTTCGAATGTTACTCAGGGTGATGACTTTGACAACATACGTAAAAATTACAACTGTACCTTATTGTTTGATTAAACGCAACTTTAACCAATATTTTTAAATCTCTGAAGGGGAAGGACTTAAATGATAAAATTGAACGCAACTGCTTGTTTTATAATATTCAGTTGATCCCCTCAATTTCCAGGAACGTCGGGAGAACAAATAATACTGCAATCAAATTACTTTAAGTTACTCACGTTGCCTAATTGGTGCCTCTATAAATATCGCGTTGATTATGAACCAGAAGAAGAGCGCACTGTAGTGCGTAAAGGTTTGTTGAAACTTCATAAAGAAAAAGTCGGACCATATATTTTTGATGGTACCATTTTATATACGACTGCTCGTCTACCAGAGGTGAGATTGCTAAAACATCGTCCTATAAGTGTAAATATACAATTTTATGACCAGTCTCTATTTTGTAAACCTAATTTCAGAAATTGGAGCTGGTATCAGCTAGAAAATCAGATAATGCACACATCAAGATAAGCATACGCTTAGTAGGGGACGTGACGCAAGATGATCCGCATTATATTCAAGTTTTTAACATAATAATGAGGAAGTGTTTGGAACATTTGAAATTGCAGTTAGTGGGCCGAAATTATTACGACGCACGTAATAAAGTAAGTAAGAAGTTTGCATAAATATGTTTCATTGTTTAGGATTTAATATAATTCTTATACTATATTTAGGAATCAAGTAATTTTTATATTAATCACTTGATCATAGATCAGCATATACGAGTATAAACTGGAATTATGGCCTGGCTATATCACATCTATTCATCAGCATGAATATAATATACTAATGTGTTGCGAAGTGTCGCATAAAGTAATGCGGCAACAAACACTGTTGGATATATTAGCCGATTGTTACAGACACAACAGTCATGACTTTAGGGTAAGATTAATATTTATTCTTGCTTATACTCCATTTGTTTTTGTGTGAAGCTCAACAAAAACGTGTGCCATTTTAGAGCGAGTTCTGCAGAAATGTTATTGGTATCATCGTACTTACGGACTATAATAATAACACATATCGCATTGAGGATGTCGATTGGAATGCGAACCCTTCATCGACATTTCCTAAAAAAACAGGGGAAAATGTCTCTTATCGAGAATATTACTGGGAGAAATATAGAATCAACATAGTAGATATGACGCAACCAATGTTGGTAACAAGAAATAAACCTAAAGAACGAAATGCAAACAAAGGAGATCTTGTTTACCTGGTCCCCGAATTGTGCCGTGCTACAGGTACGTTGTATCAATATTTGAAGTTACGCCAATTGTAATCGATGTTTGAATTTTTCTGCCTAGAAAATTAATGTCGGGACGTTTTCTATCTTGTAGGATTGACCGACAATATGAGAGAGAATTTTTACCTCATGAAAGCATTATCTACGCATACCCGTGTTAATCCGGAAGCCCGAATTGCAAAATTAAGATCATTCAATGAAAGACTTCGTAAGGAACCGAAGGTCGTGGAAGAACTTAAAGACTGGAAGATGACATTGGATACGAATTTAGTGGAAGTTCCTGCTCGCATATTGCCTCCTGAGAAACTTCTATTTGGTAGAAATACAATTATTAATAGCCAGTTAGGTGATTGGTCAAGAAATATGCAACGGGCACCTTTAGCGCGTAGCAAGGAATTGAGAAACTGGATATTGATTGGTTGCGACCGGGAGAGACAAAATATAGAGGTATCAAATAATAATCGTTAACTGCATTTAAATATAAAATACAATATGACATATTAGGATAAGAAGATGCGAATATACCTCTCTTCGATGAAAAATTGCCGACACTTTTTTCTTTCAGCAATTTGTAAGGAGATTACTCGACGTGTCTCGAGGAATATCATTTCGTGTTGAACATCCACGGATACAGTGGATACGCGACGACAAGTCGAGCACGTACACTGAGAACCTCGAGTACGTTCTCAGCAAGTTCGTTCCTGATTTGGTTTTTTGCGTGGTGAGCAATAATCGTGCCGATCGGTACGTCGCTATCAAGAAGAAATGTTGCATAGACAGACCTGTCCCGTCACAGGTCTTTTTGCAAAAGAACTTGTGCTCGAGGACAGTTATGAGTATTGCCACAAAAGTGGCGATACAGATGAACTGTAAATTGGGCGGAGCCCCTTGGTATATAGAAAACCCCTTGAAAGGGTTAATGACTATTGGTTTTGATATATGTCATGATGCTGCTACCAAGGGCAGAAAGTTTCGTAAGTATCTTGAAATATTTGATTTGCCGATTTCTTCTCTTTTTAATTTGGAAATTGCCGATATCTATACACGAATGTTACATTGACTGGTGTGACATATAAATTAATTTGTCTCTGTCAATTTCTAATTACCAGTGGCCATGGTGGCAACTGTCGATCAATCGTTGGCACAGTTCTACAGCTCCATCACTCTGTACCATAATTACGAAGAGCTCGTGGAACAACTCTGCATGGGTGTGAGCAAGGCCGTACAAGCTTATCGCGCGAACAATAAAGCTCTGCCGATGTGTCTTCTGATTTATCGCGACGGTGTCAGCGATGGGGAGGTACCGCAAGTATACGAGAACGAAGTGGGAAACTTGAAAAAGAAGCTCGAAGAGCTGTACTACGGCCCGAATTACAAGATGTCATTTATTATCGTGTCGAAAAGGATCAACACGAAGTTGTTCTACAGGAGAAACAATCCACCAGTTGGCACTGTCGTTGATGATATTATCACTAGCCCGTTCAAATATGACTTCTTCCTCGTGTCACAAGTAGTCAGGCAAGGCACCATATCGCCAACTTCATACAGCGTGATATCGGACAATTCCGGCTTAAATCCAGAAGCGATGCAAAGAATCACCTATAAATTGACTCACCTGTATTACAATTGTTCAACCACCGTACGCGTGCCGGCGCCTTGCCATTATGCACAGAAGTTATCATTCTTAGTAGGGAAATTCCTTCATCGACCTCCGCACTCGCAGTTGGAGAATCAACTGTTCTTTTTGTAATTTTTTTCTTTTTTTCATTACCAATGTGATAATTGATTAAAGCTGGCCTTTCGGTCGCTGACAGTCTAAAGTCGGTCGGAGTCGCTGGAATTGGAAGTGGGCCGACTCGAACGACTGCGACTACCAGATAACCCTGCGACCACGTTAAAGGCCCAGCATATGACGATTACTGATAATTTCAGTTTACACGGCCTAAATGTTAGACGCGTTTATTTTTCTTGTAAGATTTAGCTTGAATTACTCGAAGAGGAATTCTGACTGTTTTTATAAAAGATAATTTAGATTTCGTTGGTATTATAAACGTGCAATATTTTGATTTACTTTGACTAAGATCACAAGACTGAAATTCATTTTTGAATTGAAATATTTCGTTGATACAGAAGTGGCCATTTAATGAATAAATATAGCCGTAGACATTTTTTTTTGTATTTTCGAGAATTCGGTTACTTTTAAAGTGATTAGAATACTGACACTTTTCAAAGATACATATTCTGCCAGTTTTTGTATGGTATCGTATGACTGATATGTATACATAGTATGCACACATACGTATTATTACATTCGTGTTTATTGCATGATAATTATTGAACAAACTACATGAAAGACTTACAGGAATAAAACCAAAAACATCTGTATATTTATCCAATTTAATTAGTGACTCAATCCAAGTATGTTATTTAATTTGGCTCATATAGTCCAAATAAATCAACAAATATTGACTGTACGAGTTTCAAAATACAAGACTTGACATCTGTGAAACCGTTCGAAGTATTGACAAACTTTGATTATTTTATTACTAAAAACTAATTCGTTTTGTGTTTATTCAGGCATGTACATTCGCAATCATTAAGTGCACAAAAGGTGTAGAAGTTAAAGAAGTATTAAGCTACTGTTTTATATGACGTTCATGTATCAAATGTTACAAACTTAATAAAAAGTTTACATTTTGTAAAACGTGAATTATTTCAATATACACATCTTATTGGAATATGAGCATACATCGTTCTTTTTAAGGTTAAAGAAACATACTTGTATAATGTACACACGTATATTTCAAACACCATCGATACAATATCGATATATCATTACGAGTTATAAACCAGGAAAGAAATAGTAAATTTATTATTTTCTTGTTTACCAAAGAACACTAACTAGCCAGAGTACGGGTTACGCTGTTATAGAGTATATTCTATTGTAATTGACACCGCTATGGTACTAGAACATACAATTCATTTATCGTTACTGTTTTAAGTCCACTTCAGACGTAACATCATTGTTACATATCAAGAATGGACCATTCGTCGCCGACAAGATCCTCGATTCGTGATATCTCTTTACGCGTTCTTCATATTACACCAAAAGAAACTGTATACAAAATGGTCACATTTAGTTTGGAATAAAGTACCGAGTAAAAGTACGTAACCAAATATTTCTACATGTATTTTGCTTTCCACATAGTCAATCTGTGATTATATATATGTATGTATCTAATACATCTTCCACGAGCGCTTGAGTACTTAATTACAAAGATTTCGAATAATGTTACAAAAATGGCATGCTAAAGAGACTTGTTGAATTTAAAAACTGCATACATACTATATGTGTACACGTACAAAATATGTATGTATCTTGTGTCCCTGCATACTTTTTCACGTCTAACTGATGAAAGATTATATGATAATTTAAAAGATAATGTGTATAGAATTGATAATACGTATAACATGAAATAATATAATATTAATATTTTCTTAAGTAATGATTCGTAATGAAACGTTGTACTAGAACACTATAGTTTGCAGAACAAATCATCTAGAAAATCAATATCTCGTGTGTATGGAGTGAAAATTGAGCGATAACAATTCTATTCATATCAGAATATTAATCTATATCAAATTATAATTGAGCACAGAACACATACACATTCTATAATTCTGTTTACGTACGTGTAATTCACGTCTCACTGGTATGCGCACATATTAGAGAGATTTTACATGGTATGAAATACACAAATAAAACTTAATGAAGCATATTGAACTTGGTCGATTCTTAAGTAAAAATGTTATGATTATTAATCGAAGGTACATTTCAGAAAGACACGCATCGTATGCTCCTAATATTTTTCTAAAAATAAAGAGTATACATCTATACATTTACATATATATAAGTTCAACTTGAAAAATACCTGTAATATATTAGCAATTTCTAAAAAGAACGTCGCAGAGCTTAAATACAATGAGGTGACAAAATATGATATAGGATATCGCTTTCCTTATAATGCTATAAGATTACTTTTATCACACTCATTTAGTTCGCACAGTATTTACAACATTGATCAAGACATATCAGCTGATTTAAAACGAAGGGAGAATAAAAACTCGAGTCTAATTAAGAGAGTAAAACACCGGTTTCCCGTTATCCTCCTTGCGCACGCAAAATGTACTTACACTTTCTCTAATAAAATATATATCTACTAATAATAAAACAACTACTTCTATACTACAAAACAAGAAAAAAAAACAATTTCAAAACAAAAACGTATAGTTATACTCTAGTAACACTTATGATATATTCTTGATATAGAAATCATCTTCATCTTTATGTAGAAATGTGGGAGACCTTGTCATCATTAATGCAAATTAAAAGTTTAACTAGTCGAAATATTTCGGTAGACATTACATGCATTTTTATCTCGGCATCAAAATAAATCACAAAAAGCAGAAGATAAACAAAGAGACGATAAATACATATGTAAGATGTAATATACATATAAAATGTCGAATTTATGTGATGTCTAGATACAGTGTATTTCAATAAACATTTATATAGACTTTTCACATTATTTTTTTCACCGTTACAATATATGATAAATATGTAGATCGTTATCGTGAGTAGATAACGTTTCTATCATAGCATCAATATATGATATTATAATTTCAAAAACTTAGCCAACGATTGATATCCATTTATAGCCGTGTCGTGCTGCCGCATAAGTACATCTATATTAAGCTTTAATCATCACGTTAACATTTTCAAAAAATGTCCCTTTTAAGCAATTTTCATATTTTACCGTGCGTATTTACTATGTCCGACCGATTTGTGTTTTCACCATGTTAAATCTTCTCGTACTTATTATTAGGAAGAAACATCAAATTTCTTATTGACTTTGCCATAGCGTAGCAAAATTCCATGTTAAGATATTTTCAAAATTAAGTATATCCTTTCTCTCTATTGAGGAAAATCTATATAACTAAAATGCAGCAGCAGTTTCGTGAGACACGTAACAGTGTGATTACACAAGATGTGACACTTAAAACGGGTTATTTATGTAAATTTTTTGTGCTTTAAAGAAAAATGTCACCACTAGATATTACTTTTCGAAACAAATCCATGAAGCTAACTCGAAAAATGCGGCGTTAAAACTTGAAGAAGTGAAATTAAATATTTCTACACACCGTATAAATCTAAAATATCATATTACTATTCAAACTCAACAATACTCTCTTTCTCTCTTTCCCTCTTCCTTAAAACATTCACATATCTTCAAGTAGAAGTTATTCACAATTAAGCCCGTCTTAAGTGTCTCATCTTACATAGTAATTTTTATTGTCAAATTAAGATAATAGTCTGTAATATATATGCAAATATTAACACATAAACAATGAAGCATATAAAAATGTGCAATGCCAAAACAATCTTATCTCTAAAATTATCATATACTTATCTACATATTTATTTTTTCTTATTTAAAGAGGACTGCATATCACAAACCATTATCGTAATACCTTCGATAAGGCAAATCAATAGTTCTAAAACAACTCACAAATTACTTTCGCACTTACAATATCTAAATTTTATTAACTGAAAAGTTTTATAATACGGTGCGGTTAAATATAATATTTTTTTAACGACAATTAATGTTTTGATATTCAAAAATAGGCAGTTAAAAACTTGTTCAAATAATAAAATAGTATTCAGAGCATATACATCGACTACTGTAATTGGTAACTCGCAAAAAAAACTTATAATAAAATATAAACTCGTAACTATGACTTTCAATTACAATTAAATCTTAATTCTTTATATTAAACCACCGGTTGAACATGTGGCTGAAATAAATCGAGATATTGGAAGGAAAAGGAATACCTGTATATATACATATGTGATTCTTTGAAGCTTGTCGCGATATGGCTTCCAAATATTAAGATTATTCAATGTGGATATGCTTTGCTACTTCGAAGTTGCCTCATAAAGAAGTTCTCAGACTGCATGTGGAGATTGATATAAAAGGATGTCAAGATTCATAAATCAATCGCTGATAGTGAGGAAATATTTCCCAAGTCGGCAGATGCAGACCAAATTCTAAAGCTACCAGTACAGCGAATTCAGATGTAAATAAATCCTTGCGATTTAAACGAAATACGCCCTCAATTCTCTGTAAATTAGCATCGAGATTATTATTGTGCAAAAGATGATTTAACTGTACACTATAATACACGTACCGAATACACGTACCTCAATGAGCGATTTCAGAATATCACGCCTCGCGTCGTTAAATTTCGCTGCGAGAAGTAAGCAAGCACCGGCGCACAATTTTCGCGTTTGCTTTGTCACGATGTTTCGGAGAATGAGCTTTTCAAAGTACACATAGGCCATTGCAACGGTGAGTAAATCAATACCATATTCTAATCTAGCTATTTTTCTCATTTCGCGTTTCAAGCTGAAACAAGATTTTATCCTCTGAAGATTATGTGCTTCAGAATATGCTTATAAAATATTGTACAATTCTTGTAGGATAGGCACAATCTGCATAAATTATACGAACCTTCGAAGTTTACTAAGAGTGAGTTGAATATGCGGGAATTTTTCTTTGAATTTATCGTTCAATTCTTTCTTCAGATCGGAGGGTCTTACATAGTCAATAACAGACGCCTGAACCGGACAGTAACGATTTATATCATTTATTGAAAAACGAAGGAAATATTATTGGCTAAAGATTTTATAATGCACTTAAATACATACCATGTATGAGGTAAATGTCAGTAGTGTTCTGTGTTTCCCAGCGATTAGTTCTGGATCGTCCAGTAAATTTGGATTGTATTGGGCAGATTGTTCGTCCCACTCGTAAACTGTAACATGTGATAAAATAATTACGTAGTGTTGTTCATATTGTGTATTAATTTTACAGAGAAAATCAAGAGAAACATTGCATTTACCTTTGGAATCAGTACTGAAGGATAACGGTGGAGACTCGGAAGTTATATAGTGCGCACGATTTGTGGCTGTATCATACGAAAGACACCTGAAGTAAATAAAGAAGGAAAAGTTATTGCAAAGTATATTTTGTTAACAATTATTTCACTTTTAGGCATGCAACGTGCGACGTGCTTTAGAACTGTTGCATTCCTCCCATCAAAATATATGTATAAATATATATGTATATGTATATATATATATATATATATATATA